TCTTAATGATTATTCAATATATTTGTAGCTTGTAAGTTTTAGAATCAGATTAATCATTCAATATTGAGATAAATAATTAAATTAAGAATAATAGAGTGTAGATGAATTCGTTTGATAGAACACTTGATATTCGAAGGAGTTGCCTGAAAGTGGTTGGAGTTCTAAAGTTCAGATATAAATTAAACAATAAAAAATGTAGCTGAAAGTTCACTAGATCGCTCAATCGAAGTCACAAATGTTTGGTTACTTAAATATTGCAACTTTAGATGTCTGCCTTAAATTCTCTGCACCATGTGTTCTTTTGTCTTTTCCTTTTGCCTTCAGGATTTCAAATTAGGGTTTGCTTCGTGAGACAGTTTGGTGATTTCCGTAATGTACATCATATCCACCTCCAGTGTCGTTTCCTAGTTTCCTCTTCAGATGGAAGTTGGTTTGTTCTCTCCTAGAGTAGGCTATTGCTGATGGTCTCCGGATAATGGATATTGAGTATCTTGCGTAGACAGCTTATTGTAAATACCTGTACATGTTTTATGATGGTTGTAGCAGTTCCTCAAGTTTCAGTTCCACACAGTAGAACTGTTCGTATTGAAGATTTTCCCTTTGATATTGGCTTTCAGACAGTTGTTTTGAGTTCCATATGTTGTTCAATTGTAGGAATGCTGTTGTCGCTTTGCCAATCTTTTCCTTCACGTCTGCATCCGATTTTCCTTGCTCACCGATGGTGCTGTCTAGGTACATGAAAGTTTGCACCTCATCCAGAGTTTCTGCATCACATGTGATTGGGTTGGTGTTCTCCGTGTTGTATTCGAGGATGTTGGTTTCTCCCTTGTGTATGTTGAGGTCTACTGATACAGAGGCTTCTGCTACGTTGTTTGTCTCGACCTGCATTTGTTGATGTGTATGGAATAGAAGAGCTAGGTCGTATGAATTCCGGATGATATTGAAGATCTTCTGAGGTACTCTATAGTGTCAAAGAAGTTTCCATAAGGTCCAACTATCCACGCCGTCAAACCTCCTCATGGTCAAGGAAGCTGATGTAGTGACGAGTTCCACACAACTGATTGTTCAAAAACCATCCGTAGTGTCGCGATTTGGTCTGTGCACGACCGATCATTATGGCATCCAGACTGTTGATCTTGTAGTTGGGCGTCTACCGAATCTTTCATCCGGTTCAGCAACACTGTTGAAAACGTTTCATGGTACGGATAGTATTGTGATTCCTCTGTAGTTCTCATATTTTCTGAGATCTCCTTTCTTTGGTATCTTGATGAGGTATCGTTCTTTCCAGTCTACTGGCACTTGTTCTTCCTCCAAAGTCTCTGTTACCATGTCTCCTACATATTTTCGCTTGTCAGATCTAATACTCTTCCTCACACGCATGTTTGTTTCTGAGGATTCGGCCTGTGTTTTAGCTTACTCTGCTCTTGTTTGACTGTTATTGACTGCTATCTTGTCTAGTAGTTCACTTAGAAGAAATAGATGACAACTGCCAGTATCGAATAAATACACTCCATAGTTTTTGATAGTTGAACTTTGAAGCCTTCCCTCTATTTTTATGTTGATAAAAACTTAGAACACTCAAGACTTAAAATAGAATATTTTTCAATTTATTTTATCACGTACTCACTAGCTACCAGCTTCAAGGTGCGATTCCTGGGAATCTATTGAGAATCTATGAACAATGGACTTCAACTATGTTGGTTGTTAGACAGCTACTCACTGTACACAGTTGGATACCGGGTTATTAGTCTTGGGATTAAAGGTTTGTGTAAGAAACGAAAAGGTTCTGCGTTTGGCCCTCTATTCAAGGGGTCATAAATACCCACCATCAGTGAAAAGTCTCACATTAAAATATAATAACTATCTAATGATTCATGGTTTTTAGTAATTCTCTAGATAAGATCATTTCATAATTTAAACTATGAACATTATTTCATCTTACTTTCTCTTGTTAAATAGACTTTTGTCAATGGAGTTTAATGTATGGCAGTTAGAATCATGTGGATTGTCGATAAAATTTTCCAAAATAATGCATAAATAATTATGTATCTCATAGAAATCACATGTCATTATTTATCATCACTTAGCTAATTATTATCATAACCGGTGTGATATATCTATATGATTCAGTGAGAGAAAAATGAAAGCATATTGGAAATACTTAATTGACTACAATTGATTAGACTATTTATTATTACGTTCTACACTTTATGTATGTCATCATATAGACCATGTGTAAACTATTTTTTTAAAGACAAATTTATGATCATCTTAGAATAACATTTGTTTTTTGTAGATTTTGATTTCACATTAAGTGGTGTTTAGTATGAAATGGAGCATTTTATACTGTTTTAGTTTTAATGTATTTGTTATGTACTTAGTTATTTAATATCCTGGACTCTTGTTTCACTTGATTTGAGACTCGCCAGTTGAATGTACATACATTTCAATGTTGATATTTAAATTGAAACTTGTTAGCGGGACATAGATTGGATTAAAGCACATTTTGTGTACGATTGTGTTGTTGCACGCTGATTGGCTACTTCGTATCCAATCAGCGCTTGTCGACACTTGGAGAAGACTCTAGAATCTTCTCATGCAAAAACTATAAATATACTAACGTTTTTCTTGTTATGCTTCCTACTTCAATCTACCCTTGTTATTTGGAATACAATTTAGTTATTGTTCAACCGTGTTCTGATTTAGGGACTTTTCGATTGAATTAGTGTCCAAGACTACTAAGTAATAGGAATAGCTGGGTCGTAATAAGAGAAATTATAACAAAACTCAAACTTATTACTTTTCACTTTAAACGTTTAATATGTTATTAACTTAACTGATAACTGTAAATAGTCATTAACAACTGAGTTCCAAATAAAAAGAGTTCACTGTTAAACACTTGTAACATAATGCCAAATTGTTTAAATTTTCAACACTTATTTTTAAATGATGTGAAATTTACAACGTTATTCACATACTGACACTGATAGACCATTGCTTAAGACTGATTTTAACAAATCGGTAGGACAAAAGTTATGGAACAGAAAGATTTAGATGTAGTCGTAAATTACATATAACAATATAGATTAATTAATTACAGTTCTGAATATCAATCCATACTAATACTACTTCAGTGTTCATTTTATGATTCCTTGTTTTTATTTTGATATGTTAACTAACAGAATAGCTGGGTTTTTTTATTGATTAACTCAACGATACTTACATCTAAACTATTTATATTTATAACTATACTAATTAGTTAGCAACAAGATCTGACCCTGCCTAGCTACTATATCCTCATGAAATATAGATACGAAACTCATTTTGTTGATTACCTAAAACATAATTTCAATATCAGTTAGGTCGCTCGTATGTAATTCGTCAAAACTTGAAGACCTTTATTACCATGATGAACTATCAGTAATTTGAGCACCAATTAAATATCAAAAAACAACATTATCTCTCTTTAATCAAAGCTTCTTTGCAGTAAACACATGAAACCACGTAACAAGTAGAATTTTACACTTTCATGCCATATTATGTATTGAGCATTACTTAGATACTAGGAATAAAAACTTATTTCCTTATCAGCCTAGGAAAATTTTAAAAAAATTATGATAAGATAGGGAAATCCATATTCATTTTTATAAGGTTAACGCTTTATTTGGAATGTAAAATCAATACTCTTGAATGCATATATATATTCAACAAATCAATGATATTGATATTTGTTGTTCCGATTAATGTGTTCACATTCACTAATCATATGATCATGAAAATAACAATTGACTTGAAGGTGATCTAAGTAAACTATCGAAATTTACAACAATTATATTAAAAATTACACATTACAATCTTTGAAAGTTTAAAATTTTTGTGTAAGATTCTTATTTCTTAGATGGGATTATCAACTTGATTTCTAACTTCTGGATAAATAAGGCTTAAAATTTAGTTTGTTTTTTGTGGGGGGGGGGCGAGATGAAATGACTACTTTCAATGAGTTACTCTTAATGATTCAGATGTATTATTCAAAATATATATGCTTTACCTCATGAATTCTCTGTGAAGCGACTGTGAGATCAGAAAATCTTCTAATATGGTCGCATGATCAGATGATGTCAATCATTAGTAAACAATTAAGACCATGGTAACTGTAGATTTTAGACAGTATTTTATAGTATATATCAAAGTTACCAATTATACGAGATATTCAACGTGAAAGTAACACTAGGTTAAGTCTTAGATTTATATTCTTGATTAAATGAGTCATTCTATTTGAGTAACTTTCATTTTGATAAAAATAGGTCCATCTGACAAGGTAGGTGGTTAAAATTGTACTCTCCGCCTACTCTAATTATCATGAATCCACTAACTCTCATACTACATATACCCCAACGGTCAATAAACCCACATAAGATTAACACGTTCTCAATCCGCAAATTAGGATACTAAGAGCCAACACCTCACGTGCTTATCCATCTATAAATTATAAGAATAAAGAAGTATGTCAAAGAAAATTTTAGATCAAACTACATGCATAAATAGACCATTTTTTATACATGAAACTGGTTAATACATTTAATAAGTAATTAACTGGTAAATTATGTAAAGTAACAAATTTGACAAGCATTAATGAGTCAAAGAATAGCTTACTACAATAGAAGCGGCATAAATGCACTACTAATCAAATAAACGTTATACATTATACAAAGTGATTCACTCAAGAATAACTCCACATGTTTTATTACTTCTAGTTCCTCGTCTCATACTAGAATGAAACGTCCGTTCAGTGTTTACAGGTTTTCAATGGTGGTCTAGCTGAGATCGACTCATGAATTCAGCTATTAAAATAATAAACTTCTCATTTATTTATTCTGTCACACAAACAATCTATTCACTCCTATTTATCATCTTTGTAATCATATTAAGTGTTCTAATTAAACATTATTTGTTTGTTTTCATAAACCCATTCTTTCTTTTTTTTATTTGTTTGTTTCAAGTTTTATCGGATAGCAGATTATTTAAAAGAGTTATATTTAGCTGAATCTTGGTTAGAGAATCTATTAATATCTGATATTTTACCAAGTCGTAGTCATTCACCAGTAAGACAACCAACTGATTATCGATCACGTCGAGCACGTCTTGAAAATAATCCAATAATGTCGCATAAAATATTAAAGCGAACATGCAGTGAACAACGTTATGATGAAACACAATTAATTGGTGGTTTATGGGATAGACGAGAGATGGATCTTATTCAAAAATTAATTCGTCGAGCAATCTCTACAATTGAATTAAAAATATCATCTAGACAAGTAAGTCTTAAATTAAATCACTATTTTTTTACTTAAGTAAACATTCATTTTTAATATGCGCATGCACAACTCAACATGGGACTAAACTACAGACCTTCTAGTGCTTAACTCTTGGACTACTGAATCGGTATCCAATACTATTTATTTATTTGCAATTTTGTATATCCGGATAGTATCACAGTCTGATAAACAGGATTGCCGATGGGATTGTAATTGAGTAACTAAGTTATAGTAAATTAATTCAATTACAGATCTTAACAACAATAAAAATGTTTAAAATGCATTGTTAATTATAAAGAGTGGTGTACATTTTATGGCCTGTTACACATCACGTGATAAAAGTCACCAATCAGAATACTGACTTCTGTAACCTTGTCTCTGTACTAAACCAATGATGCATCAACACAGCGCTAGTAGTCTTGACTCAACTCTGAATCCTCATTGGTCCTTGATACAGTAGTTTCTCGCATAGCTCAATTCGTTCAGCCCAAAACACCAATATCAGACTTTGCTGTATGTATCGTGTACTTCAGATATACTTGATTTACATGCAAGCCAATCAGGCCACATCATACCATAAATAAAAAATAACGATTGTACGAGATCAAGCCAAAAATATGGCTGTGATTGTGAGACTGTTATTAGTAAACTAGGTATAACTTGAGAATAGTAAGTCGTATAATAGTAGTCAGTAGGTCAAATAAAAACTTATAATTAGATATAATCTAGTTATTTAATAGTCATACAATAAGAATATATATCATAACAGTCTATAAATAGATCCTAGCAGTTACCGTTCGTTAATTCTTCGTTCAGATATAGCAACTGTATTGTACGATTTATTCATTTGTTTATTGTAAATAACCTGAGTACAATTTTGTTACATTATAAAAGTAGATTAAATGGCGAGACTATAATTTATGAACGAACCAATCAGGTACGAGATAACAGGTTTCGGATTTTGGCACGAAATTCACTCATTCATTTGGTCAAATAGAGTTTTGGCATTATAGCTGATGTTAGTTCGTGGTAAAAAAAACCTTAAATTTAATTCCTAACCTTAACCATTAACTGTAAATCATAATTCTAATTCCTCACATTGATTTATAAACCTCATTTGATCCTAGTTATTTGGTGGATACTTTCGAGGTCACTTTAGCGTTGCTTAATGGTCATCCATAAATTATAGTCTCACCGATTAAATAATGGAAAAGAATATTTAATATAAGAATTAGATAATCAGAATTGACAAAGTTATTTTTCAGTTAATAATAAACCTTGGGAAACTAGCAAACTATTGGGGAAACTCAGAAAATTCCTTGAAAAAATGTTCAAACGGGCTCTGAAAACTATGGGAAATATTTTATTCAATTACCATTTAATTGAAATTTCTTAGAAACATTTAGGAAGTGAAGAGTTACGTGTCATATTTCTGATTTGATAATTAACTCTCCTACTACCATTTTTAGAAGGATTCCAGAACATAAACGACTACTGCAGCAAAGCTCTCTTTTTATATATTTCTCGCCTTTTTTCTCTTGTTCAGTTTTGTTTGGGGTTATTAGAAGAGCTTAGGAAACTGATTCAAGCGTTCAATCAACAGATTTATTATAAACTTTCTAGAATCATTGAATTCTAACTAATGTTTCTTAGTTCTATCACAAAACACATTCGATGTATGCGAACTTCCTACTGACTGACTCTAAAAAAAGCTTTGAAATCACATAGTTATCCTAATATAACTGTTCAATTTCTTTCCAACGCTATAACGTTTATCTTTATTGACGTCAAAGATATGTAGAAACAAAGATGTTTTGTTTCTCTTATTCAATTTATACAGATAGACGAAAAGGAATCGTCATATTTAGCAACAACAACTACTACAACGACACTGAGTGCTATAATTTTTAGAAATGCTTCAAATGAAAGAAAGTAAGAGTTTATATTTTTTTGATAGATTTTCTGGTGTTTTGATGGTTCACAATTTTTGATTTATTGATGACGATGATGATGATGTCAATGATGTCTTTCACTTTTGTTCTTTCCAACTCTAATACATACATCGAACTATGTAAGGTAAGTGTAATCTAGTTACATGTATTTGTGATTTATACAAGTAATTGATTTGTAGTTTGGTCATCATCAGCTGTGAAATTCGTTGGTACTATTGAAAAAACTAAATAACTATATATAACAGTAGATGTACTGAAAGAATAAAGGGTGAACTTGAGTGGTTCTTTAAATGGCCGGTAGAAATGTATGACTCCTATATTGAGTTAATAAAGAAGTATAAATTATGATATAATAACGCATAATATAATGCATAACATTAGGATAAAGAGTTTAACAAACAGAATCAATTTACAGTTTAACAGTTTAGATTATGATTTGGATAATGTTTTGCAGTTAGAGTCTAGCAGTGTCTTCAAACGTTATCCCTACCTCTAATGCCTTTCGAAATTTTTAATTCTAAACCTGAAATTTCAATCATTATCTTAAGTATTAGAATCAAAGATGAATGGTGGCTAGCAATGGGATCGAGGACTCGCGTTTCTTCCTGATTTAGACTCGTCAATTGGATGTACCTGGATCCCAGAGTTGATGTTCACTCCAGAACTCGAACCAGCTGACGAGTCCCAAATAGGATGATTCCACTGATAGCCACCATCCATTTTTACTTATAATGCTTGAGACTTAATCCAATGTCAAGGCATTCCGTACAGTATGCACATATGCCAATAAGAGACTGATTAATTGCAGTCGCAACTATAAATGGGAAGATTCAAATAAATAACACAAAATGAATTTACATTAACCTAAGTATCTGAGATGATTTTCACTGCTGAAAATAAATAATATATATTCGACAGACTATGCTCTATTTTGACTTTAATGAATCTGACTTATTTCTGAATGGTTGTTCATTGTTTCAATCTAAAGGTTTATTGAACAAGCTAATAGAATTGAAATGAATAAAAATCTGTAATTTAGTCTGACAAAGTTACGCATGGAGTGAGGTTGTGGAGAAATAAACATTCACATATTTCTACTACTTTGGATGACGAATTCATTTGTATATACATATTTTATACAGAAATCATTTGGATTTCCATGAATGTCTTGTATTATGTAAATGGTAGAAGTCACATTCTCATAAGTTTTCAGTTGTCTAAGGAGTTCTGTTTGCGTTGAAAATCTTACACCAATGAATATCTCTCGGCAAATCATATTAGTTCCCCGTTGAAATGAACTGATATTGCCAAACCAAATTAAGTATTCTAATGGGTCCGATAATAGGCATTTTGTTGGCCGGCTAAAACGACAGTTTTGCTTGTTGATAGGTTGTTGGTGAATGACGATGGTGAGGGAGGAGGAAGTCGGAAGTATTAACACTAATTCCGTAGCCTTATGTTGGGACGGCTTTGAAAGCATGACGAAGCCTCTACAGCCTCTAACGAAACCGAGAAGATCCCATCCAATCAGAGCCTGACATGGCGTTCTGGAATATTTATGTAGCACGCTACGACTAGACAATAACATAACTCGCCTCCTTGCAGATTAGCCGGTGTTATAAGCAATGCCAATGACTATAAATACCCACATTTCTGACTCCTACATAATAATCATTTCCCCTGCTTCTTCCATCTTCTGTTTCGCTACTGTGGGTTTCTGTACGTTCGAGCGCCGTTAGTTGTATATCGTATTCTACCATAATCAAGTAGAGGATGTAACATCTTTAAAAAACATTCCCTTTCAAAATAGTTTACTCTGCAATTTCAATTCATAAAGCAGTGTACTTTAGTAAACTTTACATTTAATGCAAACTTACATTCATCTGTATATTTAATGATTATGATAACCAGTCTTATTAAGCCAAATAAATTTCTAATAAATTTACTAGGCTTTGATTACTTACTTTATTAGGCCTGTTTCTCGCAATGGAGTATAGGCCGCCAACCGCCATTCTCCAACCCACTCTGTCCTAAGCCTTCGTTTCCAGTTCTATACAATTCTTGTTCGTTCTTCTCATGTCTACTTCCATTTCCCTGTGTAATATGTTCTTTGGTCTTCCTATTCTCCTTTCGCTTTAAGGATTCCAAGTAACGGCTTTCCTTGTGATGCAGTTGGGTGCTTTCCACAATGTGTGTCCTATCCACTTCCATCGCTTCTTCCTCATTTCTTCCTCCGCTGAGATCCGGTTTGTTCTCTCTGTTATGAATTTAAGTTGTGAGACTGCAGGGTTTGATAAGCAGCGTTTATTGATCGATTCGATGAGAGTGACACGGAAAACACGTAAGGACGACCTAGTGCCCTGATTGGCCCTGCCCCGCTGTCTGTCCTAGCCCAGTTGAGTGGAGAACAAAAGTCACAGCCTCGGAGATATGAATCACTATATTTCAAACATACTTTGTTTATATACTAGTCAAGCATACCACAGCGTACCATAAAAATAGAAAACAACATTTTGTACAATATTCAACAAGTGAACAGATATCGACCAATAGGAAATGTCCATTTAAAGTCCAAGGACACCATTGAACTTAACATGATAATTATTGGTCTATTCCTGCGCATCCACAACACCTCCCCTTTTTTTTGAAGATCCGGAGTTGATATCCGGATTTTGAAATTTTCTGGGTTCATCCTCCCCCACGAAATAATGTTGGGTCCTCATATTCCCAAGTTAGAATTAATTTGACTTTATTTAACACATAATTGTCAGATTGAACAGGGGAGTCACTGAAAGTGATTAAATAGTGGGGAACAATGTCGCTTGATATGAGGTCACCAACGTTTGATTCTTCTGGAACATTGTCACGGGATTTGTTGAAAATCTCATTTGTAAACAGTTGATCACTGCGATAATCAACATCTATCAAAATTGTATTAGATTTCTGATCATCATTTAATGCATTTAACACATTTTCTGGTACAAAAAGATCTAGATAATAAGATTCGTCAGAATCTCCTGTTGTTGAATGATGAGGACCATTTGAAACAGCTGGATTCAGTGTACCGCACGATTTGTTCCCTGTTCCGTTGTGGGCGGGTACTGCAATTAATTTATGAGCATTTAATAAGAGATCCTCCTGTGAGCTGGGTACATCACTGTCTGTACACGTTTCAGGAACAGTGGGATTTGAACCCACGACAGGGAACGTTTCGGAATTTGACATTTCTGGACAACTGGGCGGACCATGAATAACTGTCTCGTTTACATCACTGGTCGTCCGGGATTCACAGAGGCTTTTATAAACAGCTTCATATGTTCTGCAGTTGTTTTCCAGCTCAGTCTGCAGATGAGAAATGAATTTACCAACTTCTGTTGCACCTCCGAAACATGGAACATTTACCAACAGTGTGCGTAAATTTTCTAAAAAATTTAACTGGCTATTTTTGAAGCACTGCTGTTGTTGCTCAAGTAGAAGCTGTAATCGATCGGAAAAGGTAGTCATTTTTTTTTCAGCACCTGCAATGAAAATTAACTGTAGGAATAATGACCAATGTTGCTCAAGGACGCTGGTGACAATCTGGATGCTGATTGGTCGAAACAATTAACCTGAATCTCGTCCAATTACAAGGTTCAAAATTTTTCTCCACCCCGTCGCCAATTGTTATGAATTTAAGTTGTGGGTCGATTTCTACCCTGTGCTATCGATCGATTCAATGAGAGTGACACGGAAAACACGTAAGGACGACCTAGTGCCCTGATTGGCCCTGCCCCGCTGTCTGTCCTAGCCCAGTTGAGTGGAGAACAAAAGTCACAGCCTCGGAGATATGAATCACTATATTTCAAACATACTTTGTTTATATACTAGTCAAGCATACCACAGCGTACCATAAAAATAGAAAACAACATTTTGTACAATATTCAACAAGTGAACAGATATCGACCAATAGGAAATGTCCGTTTAAAGTCCAAGGACACCATTGAACTTAACATGATAATTATTGGTCTATTCCTGCGCATCCACAACACTCTCCCACAATTGATTGTTGTTGATAGTGTTTGGTCAACGGATCCGAAGTATTTTGTGTAGACAACTGATAATAAACACTTGTATCTTCTGGATAATGGCTTTCGTAGTTCTCCAGGTTTCTGCCCCATACAGTAGAACTGTTTCGACATTTGTATTAAAAATTCTGACTTTAATTTGGGTTGACAGTTGTTTTGAGTTCCAGATTTTCTTCAATCTTAGATATGTTGCTTTTGCTTTGCCGGTCCACGTCTTCCCTCGTGACTTCTGAAGGAACTCGGCTTTCCTCATGAGGAGTCATAACTCATCTAAATGAAGACCTTCTAACTCCCAGGGCGGAGTTTAAGTGGTTTGAATTGTTTTCTTGTCATTAGTGTTTGTTAGCAGGTTAGTTTTCTAAGGGATATGGTCGCTAACCCCATGCCCAACCCCCTCCTTTATCCGAGCTTAGGACCTGCAGCAGCCACAGAGGGGCTGCAGGTGGATTTAAGCTTTGATTACGACTCTAATATGAACTGTTTAGGATAAACTGCTGAAACTCAATGATGTTATAAATAAATAATGATACTTTAGTGTTTTGATTGATTTGTTCCAATTTCGAAACTTAATACACACAAACAAACAATTAGACATGAATACAACATTGAACTACTGAATCTGTTACTTAGGTGAGATAATTATTTTTGAAATTTCTGATTTGTTTCCAACATCAAGATTAAATGAATTCCTTTATTAAATCGTCAATATTGTTCAAAATTTAATAGTGGATAGTATATTGTTTTTACATATATGTATTTCAATAGACTAGTACCATGCAGAAGAAAGTCAATATTGACTTTTATAGAAGCTAATCAAAACAGGTAAGAGGATATTATCATAATAAAAAATATATACTCTTCATACTAATAATGCTACTAATATCGAGATTGAACGACTGTTTGAAAACAAGACAAAACATGGACTTGTGACTTTTATTTTGAGGAGTTCCAGAAAACTCGAAAAATGCCAACAAAGGCTCTGAAAACACTGAGAAGCATCTTATCTAATCAGCATTCACTTGAAGTTTTGCCAGAGACATCTATAGTGTAAAAAGTCACATGTCGAGTTTCTGATTGGATGATTACTTATACTGCTAATATGTTTAGTATCATTCCAGAATTTTCCGGAAACCCAAGGACATCTAGAATACTATAAAAATCCTAGATGTTCTGTACGTAAACGAACCTTTCACACCTTTTCTCTCGTATTCAAGCTGCAGTGTAGATCTAACCTGGGGTTGCTAGAAGAGCTTAGGAACCGAATCTAGTGTTCAGTTATTTAATACGTTCCTTGCTATTGGCACACAGGATAGATCATATGTGAATTAATCGTCAAAATGTAGTAACCACTAAAGGTTTATTGAATTTTTTTCTTCAGGATTCATGAAGTACCAATTATCTCTGTGTATATCATTTAAAATATGATTTATTTACGAGTTAAGTAAAAATATATTCCCTATAGTACTTATCAGTGTATAATGTCGACAAAATTTACATCAGAACAACTAGTTAGTTTTGTGTAATTATATAAGCAACGTAAAACCTGACACATTAATTCATCAGTCCAAGTTCCTACACTAAATTTAAACGACAAGATCGGACTATCAAGATGGATCATAAAGTGGTCGAATTAGTGTTGGCTGGCTGATTGACCTACTGACTAATAGATTGATCATGAGGGAAACGACCAATATATTTAAAAACTAAACAAAATGTTTCGTACTAATTTTTTACTTATTTATTTATTAATTTTTTGATTGAGATCACGAACCGATTGATGTTAGACCACCATTGAAAACCTGGAACCACTGGATGGCCGTTTCGTCCTATTGTGGGACTCCTCAGCAGTGCGCATCCACGATCCCGCACCACGCGGGGCTCGAACCCAGGGCCTTCAGTCGAGCGCACGAACGCTTAACCTATAGACCACATAGCCGACATTCAACGGTGTTAATGTCTAACTTCAACCAATCCACGAAACTGCGAGACCATCTTTCAATGTACTGAGGTAGACACCTTTTTCTACCCGACACGGATTAGCTCCACTGCTCACGGCTTTTCACCAGAACTCTGAGAATTACCATGTGCTCACTAGTGACTAGCTCCACGACCCCTATACTGATATTAATTTTTCGTTGAAATTATGAACCAATCAGTGTTAGACCAACATTGAAAACCTGGTAGCACTGGACGATTGTGTCATTCATGTGTGGGAATCCTCAGCAGTGCTCACTCGCGATCTCGAGTGCGAGGCAGTTACTCACCGAAAACATAGGGAGATGGTCGTACAATATCGTGGATTATTTGAACTTAAACATTACCACCGTTAGATTACGGCTTAGTGATATAGAGGTTAGGCGTTCGCGCGCGATACCAAGGACCCTGAGTTCGAGTCCCGCATGCAAGATTGTGGATAAACTCTTCTAGGAAGTCCCATACTACGACGAAGTAGCCCTACAGTGCTTCAAGGTTTTCAATGGTGGCTTAACACTTATTAGTTAATGATTTCAATAAAAGCTCAACCATCTTCACAACCCCATATTAATATTTATTAATTTGTTTGTTTGTTTGTTGATGCTATTATTTTGTTTAATTTTGCACAGAATTCCCATCTCTTTACGTTCATTTATTCCGGATTGTGAGAAAATCACAGGGAACAATGAAAATATTATTAAATGGAAAAAGATTTACGCTGAAGAAATTGTAAATATTGTTAAAGTAAGTCAAGAAAATCTTTACACTTTGATATTCATATTGATTTCTTGTTTATTCATTTTCAATGTACTAGATCATTATTTCCTATAAATTACTTACTTACGCCTGTTATTCCTCGTGGAGTAGCATATGCCGCTCACTAGAACTCCCCATCCAACACTGTCCTGCGCAATCCTTACCAGCTCTTTCCAGTTGTTATTCATCCTTTTCATATGTGCTTCTATTTCCCGACGTGATGTGTTCTTTGGCCTTCCTCTTTTCCGCTTCCCTTCAGGATTCCAAGTTAGGGTTTACCTCGTGATGCAGTTTGGTGATTTCCTTAATTTATGTCCTATCCATTTCCATCGTCTTTTCCTGATTTCCTCTTCAGTTGAGAGCTGGTTTTTTCTCTCCCAGAGAAGGCTGTTGCTGATGGTATCCGGCCAATGTATGTTGAATATCTTGCGGAGACAACTATTTAAAAATACTTGTACCTTTTTGATGATGGTTGTAGTAGTTCTCTAAGTCTCAGCTTCGTACAGTAGAACTCACTGTCTTGATGTCCGTATTGAAGATTCTGACAATAAATTAATTCAATGAAAATATCTAAACCTATCAAGAAGATCTTGAATTATCAAATCTTTTTATCAATAAATGAAGTCGTTCTGATATTAGGGTTTCTATTTATTGCTAAGTAAAACATAATTTGTTTTATATTAATAATAATGTTGAGCTTTTTGACTTGTGTAAAATGCTAAACAATTTCTACTTGAAATCGTGACTTCTTTACCTCTCTCCTCTCTTACGTCAGCAATTGATCAATTGTTGGTGAGGTATTGTATACTAGTTGAATTCGATCAACACTTCAAAATTTATACAAATATGATACTGGTTACTAACTATTCAGTAATCAATTACACCGCAATAGTTTGTCTATACTTGTGAATTCTTTAATCCACTTTATATTCCTTGTTCAACTAAATACTTATGCTACTATTTATCCAGATGATGACAAACAAATAAATAAATAAGTAAACAAACTATTATTGTGTTCCCACTCATTACTTATCTGATCCACTTACTAATAACACTAATACTGTTTCACTGAATTATTACATAACAGTTCAATAATATTTTATGCATTTCAGTGAATTTACAAGCTAATGAATTTTTAGTTTGATATTTTCTTAAATTCATATTCTACTGTGAATGGGAAAAAATGACATTCTTTAAGCATTAATCGTCTTAATTCACTTTTGTATTGATTGTTTGGATCTTCCCATTGATGTTTAAGACTGTGATTAATCAGTTTCTCTTATTGGTATATGTGCATTCTTGTGCGGATCGCCTCAATAGTGTCACTAAATCACAAGCATTCTATTTCCTGTTTGGAACTCATCATTCGAATATATCTGCATTCCAACGGTACTGAATAGGAGTTCCTCAGTAAACATCAACTCTGGGAGGCAGACACATCTATCTGACGAGTCTTAAATAAGAAGAAACGCACGTTCTAGATACCACCACTAGCTACCATCCATTTCTGCTTATAATTGATCATTTTAAATGCAAGAAAATGTCTTCAGTAACAAATTCACTTTGAAATATTTGAAATTCTTGGATTCAATCCTCAATATGATCGTAATCAAGCTTTGTATGATTAATTATTTTCTCTAGTTCTGTTTATGTTCTAACTGATAGATAATTCATTAAAAACAAAGGCAATTATAAACGAAGAATTTAATTGATAGAATCTAGCTTAAGATTATTCGAATCATTTTCAATTTTTCTATAAGTATGTGGTATTCAACACTCCCGCTTATTTTTCTATTCATTTAATGGATGTGTACTACATATTAGAGCATCATGTTCCCTAAATAATTCATTTCAATCATCTGAAAGTTATTTGTATTATATCGTGTGATGCTAATCGATATCATGTGTTAAAGTTACCAATTAGAATCCCTATTATCATTATTTCTATGCTAAATCTACTATCTCTTCTGTAGACTAATTTTCTGAACTTGATCAATTATACGTCTTACCCACATTTTTAACCTTGAGTCGATGTAATCTAATCTCCTATTGGTTTACTTTCAACAAGCTTTTCTCTATCCTCTGCTTTAAATTCAAAGAGAAGTCAGATACCAGGTTCGATTATAATAAATTTTTAAGTATACGTGGGTTTATACTAAAAATATATTGGACTACATTACATGATGAACTGAAAAATCTTAACTATGCATGAACAAGTTAAAAGTCGCTTTGAATAGTGCTATGTTCGAGGGATTAAGATATCACCTAGGACCGGCGAACGGAACGAAAGTCAGAAACACAACAACAAGATAAAATCAGATGTTCCTCTTCTCCTCAGACCTGATAATTGGTGGGAAAAGACCAAACTCAGCTGGGAAAATATATAGTCTCATAAACAATCTACGAGAGAGAATGACATGCACAAAACTCATGCGTATATATTCAATACAAAAATATCCTGGAAAAACACTACAGAATACAGTACTAAGAGAGAAAACTGACCAATGACGTCTAAGGTTCTTCGAGCCGGAAAACACAAACTGAAGGTAAAAATGAGCATTTTGGTGCGAAAATGAAGAATTCGAATTTCCATAATTAAATTACAAAAACGAGAAGTTTATCAAGTGACTTCCGGGAATCTAACATCCCCAGCAAATAGGATACGCTGTAAATAATTGATTACCAATAAATAAGGAATAATAAACAGTGTAATTATGATTACTACCTTTCATGAGTTATCGTTTCTTTAATCTTCGCCTTGTATCATCAATTCTCAACTGTTTACTACGAATAATTGAGCTTGAACACTAACTGTTATGACTTTTAGCCCGGCTAATTATCACGTGAATTATAACGCCATTCGGAATACCAGTTGTACAGTTTTAACACTGTGCTACAACTATGACGTATTGACCGGTATGAGCAACCTAGCGTCCTTATTGATTCTTTTTCCTGCCCAACCCTGCCTGTTGGGCCAGAACTCCGAAAACAGCGTCCACTATGTGAATCATTTATTTCAAACACACTTGGTTTATATACCAATCAAACAGACCTCATCATACCATAAATAGAAAATAACAATTATACGAGATCAAGCAAAAAAAGTGGCTGTGAACATGGGAGGTCGTAATCAATAAACTGGACATAACTTAAGAACAGTAAATCGCATAATAATGATCTATAGGTCAAAAGGAAGCTTATAATAAGAGGAATGTAGATATAAATAATCTAGTTACTAAATAGTTATACAATAAGAATATATGTATCATATTAGTCCATTAATAGTTGTCAGAAGTTACCTATAATTTAATCTTCACTAGGATATAACACTAATTAAATTCACTGTTCGTATCTTTTTCACACTTTTTATCAGTTAAAATAAAGAGAAGACCATATTATAGTGAAATATATTAAGTGGAAAAAAAAACTATAGTTAGTATGTAATTAATGGGTAAAAGATGGTTTCCTCATCGTAACGATTCAACTTTTTTACTTCTGGTATTATTCTGTCTTAAGATGGTTTCCGGTAATGGTACGGTTGATGTCATCGTCTCTCGGTGTTTCGGAATGGTACGAACCAATTGATACAGTTGAAGGGTTATTCTTTTACAAAATTGAATCTATACAAACTAGATAGACTAAACGTTCAATATATACAGCACTTTGATAATAATCCATCACTTCTTATTGGATTGAAGGCTAGAAGCTTGAGAAAAAGCTTACGACTCAGAACATTCGTAATTGCAATATAATGAGTTTCTTTATGTAACAATAAACATGAATGTTTGACAAAAAATTTAACAAGCTAAAAGGATAAACAACCAATCCGTTAACAGTAAAGGTCAGGGAGGGGTTATGATTTGAAAAGGTGTTATTGAGGACTTCCTTGTACATCAAATCTACCACTGGTCAACAGAAACAATCAAATTAGATAACTTGAGGTCTTCTTAGCAATTAATGATGAATCAAGTCAAACAAATATATAAACTCTGCTAAATCTTATTTCACTCCTAATCTGTCTCATATTTGAAGCAGTATTATCTTTTGAAACATTGTAGAACACTGTGCTGAATACTTAAAGCTTCAATTTGTCTCTCAGTTGGTAAATGTGAAAACAACAGATTTCAATTTATGGGATCAGAAGTTTGACTTTATGATGAATGTACTAAATAAATTGAGTCCCTTCAACTTAGAAAGATATATACTGATGTGTATTTATGTATAGCCAAATTTTCTCAGATTATATTAATAGGTTGTAGATTTGCAAATACATAATATTCCCAAACTTAGTGAATAGTACCCTTAAGACATCTTCAAAAGTATAATAGTAACCAAGTGCACTACACTGATAACTACCTTCAGAGGTTCTAGAGATGACCCTGAAAAGGTAACATCAATTTCAGCCATTCAGAATGCAAATGATATAAATGAGTAATTTCTTGCATGACTTAGAGTCTGTGTATAATGATGTGTTGGTTAGAATTAATGATTAGGAATAGAGCGAGAAAATGCTTTGTACAAATGACTACTTATATAGTTATTTGTTTCTTTTTAAATATCAAAGAAAAATAAACGAAAAAAGTATGGGAAGAGTTTGGGAAAGAAAAAACAAAGTCTTTTGCTAAAGTTAATTCGGCTAAGGAAGAGATAAAGGGGTTACAAATTTCTTATGAATACAAAGACTTGAGTCGTTAGCTTGAATCCCTATAGCTTACAATATGTATGGTAGACGAGATCGAATCCATGACGAAAACCAGTGGTAATATGATAAATCAATTTTAAATGACCTATTTCTGTCTACTACATGACCGCTATCGACGAAGTGTGATAAAACAGAGCTTTGTATTGTTTTGACTATTACCCTTTCCCAAACATTAAGAGGTGTTCACTAACTCATTTGCTCAGTTGTCCGGTTTTACGCCCAATATTCGGTCATGATTGGTTTACTATGTGTATACTAAAATATATTAGAACTGCGGAAATCACCAAACTGCATCACGAGGCAAGCCCCAATTTGAAATCCTGAAGGCATAAGGAAGAAAGGAAGACCAAGCAGAAGTCAAAAGATTGAATAGCAACTGAGAACAACTGGAAAGGATTGCCTAGGACAGAGTTGATTGGAGAATCCTAATAAGCGGCCTACACTCCTCCACGAGGGGTATACTAGAATAAAGCCTGATGAAGATCTAATTGAAAACAATATTGTTCGCTTATATATGTTGCTCTAAAATACAAGTTGCCATTGCATTCTAATGTAATAGCCTCTGTTTTAAATATGTTTGCTCCATCAGTAAATTAAACTTTTACCATAATGGTTATTGAAGTTGAAGGTTTTGAGATGGTGGAGAAGATTTGTAACTCAGGTGGATGATTTTTATGGAGTCTTGTTCTCTGGGCTGGATGGTTTGGTTGTGGAGCTTTCATCGTTTTTCTGAACGACATCATCAGCACAAGCTTCAGATAGAAGTGAAGTGTTCGAATTTCTCCGTATGCGTTTCACAGCTTATCCTGTACACGTCGATGTTGATTGGTTCTTAATGACCTTAAATTTGTCATTGTTTACTTCTTTGTTTTGGTTCTGTCTCCCATCGGTTTGATTTTTGTTCCTATATTTGTGCATAATTATCCTGACTGGTTGATAAATTGAATCGATTTCAATGTGCTTCTTGATTGCTGATTGACCTGAGTGCCAGACTTCTAAAAATTCTTTGGGGTTTTTGGAATTTCCTCTCCGAGATTCACACATTTTTCCAATCGAATGAGTGTCCGCAGTTGTCCACGTGTATTGACATAAGTGAGGAAATATCATGGCGTTTGACTGCTAATTGATGTTCATGTAGGCGAAGGTGAAGGGGGCGTCCGCTTTGTCCGATGTAGTGTTTTTCACAGTTGGCACAACTGAAGTTTGTGCTGGTGATGTCGTTCAGAAGAACGATGAAAGTTCCACGACCAAACCGTCCAGCTCAGAGAACAAAACTCCATCAGAAGTTGAAGGTTATTTCCAGGCAGTCAGTTGGAAGCTATAAACTTAGGTTTCATACTAGCTGGCAGTCGTTAGTAATGCGTATCCATAATCAAGGAAAAACTGCTTCTCTCAGTCAGATTCATCACTCAGTTTGTCAGCTACAGTCAGAGACGCATTGCCAATAATCTACTCGTACTGTAAATAACATTCCATTGGGATTGAAATGTAGAGTTAAATGTTAGAGATTCTTAATTGGTCCATCGGTTTTCGTCTATTTCAGCTTCCTCGTTATCCTGTTGAACAACATTTAAATTTAGAAACTATACATCAATCACAAAAATCTACCATTTTTCTTTGTTCTGATCATCTTGTCTTAACGCAATGGCCATTAGATCCACAATCATTTGTATGTAATGGAGATTTGGCGCATATTATTCCATTCTATGAATTATGGTGTGATACGATGAAACTTGATGAATTATTATGCATACGATCATCATCAATATATGTGTCAAAATCATTAAAGCACCATAATAAATTCAATCCTAGTAGAAAAAATTCCGAAGTTGATAATGATCATTTAAGCAAATATAATATCTCTTCATCATCCGGCATATTAGAAGAAGATGCTGATCTATTGAATAGTCCTACTTTCAATGAACAATGTAATCAGTTAATTAATGATACAGAGATAATAAAAACATCAAAGTCTTCTTATTCATCAAATGATAATCATACATTTAATAATACTGATATGTTATTATTAATTGGGCATCCACCAATGGAAAATTGGGCAATCCGTTTTTCAAATAATAATCTTTGCGAAAAATGGCGACATATGATCAATGAGTAAGTTGATTTAATTGTTTTGCTCATTTTTATTTTTATTTTTCGATTTATGTTTGTCCTTTAACGGTTGAATTTACGATTCGATCTAAGCTAGACCATCATTGTTAACCTAGAAACATTGGGCGGCCGTATCGTCTTTGTTTGGGACTCCTCAGCAGTGTACATCCACGGTCCCTAACCAAAGGAACTCCGACCCAGGGGCTTCTATTTCACACGCGAACTTTTACCTCTAGACCACTGAGTCAGCATCAAACGATGTTAATGCCTAACTTTAATCTATTCATGAACTTGCGCAACGCTTCATCCATTGTCTGAGTCAGATAACTATCTCGTACCGGATACGGATTAAAATCCACTGGTCACGGTTTCTCAATACAACCCCAGTAAATCCATCTTGGAGCTAGTCACGAGTGAGTACTACTGAGGAGTCCTATATTAGAACGAAACGATCGTCCAGTGCTTCTAGGTTTTCATTGGTGGTCTAGCTTAGATCGACTAGTGAATTTAATTGTTAAAATACTACGGTTTCCTCACACACTCTACTGATTATATATTTGTGTTCAGTAGAAGCTGGTAGGTAATTAAATGGGTAGTTTAAGTTACAGTTCATCAGACTGATTATCAAAATAAGGTCATTTAGACACGACAAAATATCTATAGCGATGCCAAAATATCAGTGTGGAATGTGAAGGAATCATAGATCTTTTACTTTCGGAAAATTAAAGTTGATTGTTTAATATACACAGAACAGATTAAATGCCAACTATAAGTCTTATTTTAGAATTCAATCTATAAAATACAAATGAACACGTTTGATCAGTGAAAATAATTATTTTATTTGAAGGAGTTTTGCGGTCAATCTGTTCAATTTGTAAGTTGTATTTGTCATAGAATACTCTCAGTTAGAGCACAGGACAGCTGTTTCATCTAAGTATAGGACTCTATAGGAATGCATACAAGTACGACTAAACCACAAATTGGAAACAAGACCATGAGGTTACGCAGAGAACGCTTGTATCGGTGTATCGATACTCATCCCCCATAAAAGATGAATTTAACTTCATTTTTACATTATAATAAAAACAGTTTTATAAAAGTCTCGATGGAAGGTTGTTCAGGAAAATTAGACTGTAACAAAGGTTATGAACAATCTTTCTTATGAGTACACAAATTTAAACAAAGCATTTATGCATAAGTTAAACTGTTGATTTAAGCTGTGCTGGTAGGTGCGGACTACTAGATTGAGGTCCTCTCGATTATTGAATCCAATAGTTAAAGATGCTTAGTGACATGACTAAGGATGAATCACAATAACCTGAATCTATTCACTCTTTGCCCGCTCCTAGATTTTTAGTTTTAAAATTATCTTGAATGATATCTTCTGTGTCTAATCTTTTCTAACGTCAATAATACTGTTATTACTCCTACGATTCTGGTATATGTCTTGTTAATTTGACCTCACTGTATTGGTGTATTGTGGGAAATCGGATCGGTACACATATGGGCAGGTATTACGTTGTTTGTGACTGACCTGCGGATATATGTGAGATGGTTAAAGATAATCGATAGGGAACCCTGGTACTATGTTTTTTACTATTTGGTACTGATTGGTGAAATAAATCTTCAATCTTGAAATAGATCATCCATTCTCTTTATGGTTGAAATATACACATCTGTCTAACGAGTGTTAAAGAGCACAAAATTTTGATCCATAACTTAGAAAAGATTCCCTCAAACCAGATGACATCAAAATATAGTGTACGCATTGTCTAGTTACTTAGGCTATTAACAACATTTCAACTTGATTTACAAAATTCGATCAACACTTTAAAGACTTGAGACGAACATGACATTTATATTACTATCAGTTGATCATTTAGTCTGATTTAGTAGTCAGATTTTTACTCAAAATATTTATTTATTTATTTATTTATTTATTTATTTATTTAAACACATAAACATTGGTACAAGGAGGCACCAAGTAGATATGCGCCACATAAATCATCCAATTTTTGTGAGGGCTGTGATACTGCCCGGGTGCCCAGACCGAAGCAGGTGGTTATCTTAGGGGGCCACACCCCGAGCCTTTGACCTAAAGGTCTGACCCGTAAGGCAGTGGAGCATCGTAAGGAGATGCAGTCCCATGGTAGCCGGTGACCAACGATTAGTTCATATACCATTTGTTCCTTCAGGATACTGGAGCCCATGTACATCATTGGTTTGGTATCTGGTTAAAGCGCTGGACATTCGCTTTTCGTCCTCTCATTTTCATAAACAACACCCCCGCCACGAGAAGGCAGTGAGTAGGACTTCCCTGGCAGAGGCTGTATACGCGTGGCCGTGTGAGAGTATTTCGAGAGGGAGGGTGAACCCATCCCACTCTTGGCCATACAAGGGCATTTGGGGGCACTCAAAATATTATTCTGTCACCGAATCACATGATCTCCTTTTTCTTCTTTTCATACGATTACACGTATAAATCATAACAAAAAATAACATCTATTACTTTACTAATTTAGATCTATTCGAAAAAGTCAACAAATATTCTATGGGAAATCGATCAATGTGAAGGTGATCAATCAGATAATTCCAAATCATCAAGTAAGTTCACCTACGTTGATCAATAAATCGTTTGTGACAAGAGTAATTTTTAGTAGTTACATTTATACTACTAAAAATAGTAATCATATTTTCACTAATGATTTCTAAAGGTCATTTCTTGTTGTTTTATTGAGAAGCAGTGATCTATGGAGTTCAACCATATCGACTGTGAGATAGTTATCTATCACTCATGGTGCCGTCGGAAGATACTTACAAAATGTCATAAACTGATTGAAGTTAGAAATGTAGTCTTAGGCGTAGAGACAGCAGTTTAGGGATTAAGAACTCACTGCGATGGAACCTAAAGGTAGTGAGTTCAAACCCTTGGGAGAATGAGTCATGAGTTCAAATGACTAAGGAATTCCATGATAAGACCGAAGTAAATATTCAATGCTTTCTAATTTTTAATGGTTATTTTTTCATAATGTAATTGTTAGAGATTCTACATTAGACATATTTGAAAGCAAGACTTAACCGATCAATGTTTGACCACCATTAAAAACCTGGAAGCACTAAAAGGCCGTTTTGTCCTAGCATGGGACTCCTCAGCAGTGCTGATCCACTACCCCACATAAGGGAATCAAACCCAAATCATCGGTTTGGCGCGCGAACATTTAACTCCTGATTCACATAACTACTTAATGAAAAAGTACGAATAGACAAACAGCTGAAAATGTAACTGATATATTATCAACAAGACAAATGAAAAGAACAAATATATTAAAATTTTGACCTTAAAATGAAATCTTTAATAAGGATTACAGGCTGAAATCCAACATTGACCCAATACATGAACGCAAAAATGATGAGAAGTGTAAGAGACCACACGCTTATTAAACATTGACAATATATAACCTTATGCTTGTCAAAACACTTGAATATTCACTTTTTATTCTTAACGGTGAGACAAATGGATAAAGTCAATGTTGTCATGTTTACATTGAACGACTGTAGTATCGTTTGTATTATGTCTTGTGAATCCAATGACTGAAACCATGTGACAAATGATGAATTAGCATCCCGATTCTCAGGATTCTTAGGCTTGTGTGTATACGATCTTGATATATAGCCTTTTTATTTTACAATTTATGTCTTCTGCCATATGATTATTACTATTCTCTTTTATCATGATAACATGTTGCTATGTATATATGAGTTAAAATAATGTTTACAATTTATTCAAAATGTATACTGTTATTTTCCAAGACTTCATTTTCAATAAATTATTACATAAATGACTTATTACGTATGAATACCTGAAAAAAATTATTCTCATGACAACTAATAATTGTATTAATTTGAAGGAAATTAATTCAATTCACTAGTCATTGTTGACATATAATTATCATTAGTAAGAATTTGATTATCCAATTGTTGATAAGCACGGTTGAATGTTGACCTATCTTTATTGGTTATGTGATACATATATGAATTACCTGGATTATAACAATAAGTTGTTTAGTACAAATTGATTCTTATTAGCAGTTAATATTGATTCGGACTTAATTAGTTTGTTTGGATGAATAATGAATTGGTGTTTGTACTGAAAGGTACTATATTCGAGTTCTGATATGATCATAAACATCAGTTTATGGATGTATTCGATGGATGAGTTGTGAATAAGATGAAATGCGCTTCTTGGATTACACTGTATACCACACTCCATCTATATAAATTATTTCCTCCACTTAAGTTATTATTATTATTAATGACTTTATTCAACATTATATTTTGGTACAGTATAGAATTCTCAGCACAAATATTAAGAAACAAAAATATTATTAGCGTATTATAAAACCTAATAGTATAGTGTGCAGGTGATCAATGTTGTAGATTTTCAAAATTATTTCGTTGGTGAAATGTTTCTGTAGACTTTCATTTAATTAACTTGAAGTTAGTGGTTTTGGTCACAGATTTTAAAAACAGATTCAGATCTGACCAATAAGTTTCCAGTATGGGGTTGAGGAGATTATTAAGTTTTTGATTGAGATCATGGACCGATTGATGTTAGACCTCCATTGAAAACCTGGGACCACTGGATGGCCGTTTCGTCCAGTTGTGGGACTCCTCAACAGTGCGCACCCACGATCCCATTCGCGGGATTCGAACCCAGGGCCTTCAAGCGGGCGCGCGAACGCTTAAACTACTAGACAACTGAGCTGGCATTCAATGGTGTTAATGTCTAACTTCAACCAACCCACGAAATCGCGAGACCATCTTTCAATGTACTGAGGTAGATACCTGTCTCTACCTGACACGAATTAACTCCAATAGGACGAAACGGCCGTCCAGTGCTTCCAGGTTTTCAATGGTGGTCTAGCATCAATTGGTTCACGATCTCAATCAAAAACAATAAGTTTCTATTTGAAGATCAATACCATGATGCAGATAAATCCAGCTGAGGAATCGTAAACAGCATGAAACATGCATCATAGATTACATCGACAACCATGCAAAGAAAATACTGGTATCAATAATTATTGATGAATACCTATCCAACTTGATATTAAACACTTAATGAATATTTTTTAGAATAGATAGCTTGTGGTCAGCGCTGGAATCAAGTACTCATATTTCTTTTTGTTTATAGTTCATCAGTCAGATTGGTCTGATTCAGGGTATTGATGTTCACACTGAGATTTAAATCCAGTGACTTTCACTTTGAATACCAACGCTTCATCTAATCAATTACCAGCTTGTTCAGTGACTAGTATTATGTTCATAACATTACTAGTTAGTCTCAATGTGAACATTAACACTAGGATATAATTAGCATCCAGTTAACGAGTTCATTTTTAATCTCAATACATCTAATCTATAAAACTTATAACAAAATGTCTTTTTCAGAGAGTTAATTCTCATCCCAGAAAACAAAAAAGTAAACTTGACAGGCTTTATCACAATTAAAGCTCTAATTCAATAGAGTAAATTGGTAAAAGTATAATACACCAATGACCTTGAATTAACCAATCAGAATTAAGAAAACACATTTCACATTTTGCGTGAATTTTAAAGTACAGTGGTAGATAATGTGCATTTTATTACTTGTCAAGTGAAAATTGACAATATTTGGTACTTTAAAATACTTAAAATCAATGAAAACATCTAATATGTAACTAAAAGCCGAATTTTGGATTATGCGTATGCTAGATTACGTAACATACCTTTATGTCGTTCGTTGCATAATCCACAGTAAAGCTAGATAATGTTCCCCTTTTCTTACTCTTTCTTTCTAAATCTCTATCCTAAGTTTCTAAAGTTTGTAAATCTAAGGGTGCCAAGGCATTAGATTTCAGCTTAACCCTGACCTTAATTTATAAATCTTAAAAATCTAACTCGAACCTTTTTGTTTTACGACTGATGTCAGTTGGAAACGAAAGCTCTACGGGTTTGATAGCCCTAGCTGGCAACACTAGTCTGACTCCTAATATATGAGTACATATGCAAACTTACTCTTTTTTTACTACAAGAGATAATTTGACTTGTGAATATTAATTATTATCAGAAGGGGTTTTGTGGAGATAGTAGTAATTTCAACAGTTGAGATCATGAGTCAATTGAAGCTAGACCACCATGGAAAACCTGGAAGCACTGGACGGCCGTTTCGTCCTATTGTGGGACTCAGCAGTGCGCATCCACGACCCCGCCTCGTGGGATTCGAAGTTAGACATTAACACCGTCGGATGCCGGCACAGTGGTCTAGTTGGTTAAGTGGCTGGCACGAGACTGATAGGGCCTTTGTTCGAATCCCGCGAGGCTGGGTCGTGATGCACACTGCTGAGGAGTCCCACAATAGGACGAAACGGTCGTTCAGTGCATGCAGATTTTCCATGGTGATCAAGCTTCAATTGACTCATGATCTAAACTGTTGAAAATATTAATTATTACAACAAAAGCTGTTATTTCATTACTTAATATTGTTTCTTAGTCATTATATCCTAATTGGCTGATAAATCGCTCAAAGTCATCACTATAATGTACTTTTACCAGTGAATTTCATTTAAGTTCACTAAATTGATACTCATATATAACAATATTATGACAAAGGAAAAAGATATTGATTTCGTCTCTGTTAACACAGCGTTACAAATCAAAATTGTATCATAATAAAGAACATTATATTAATTGATAAGTGTTTGTCTTTGTTAATCACCAATCAAATCATTGAATGATTTCTATGGCTAGAAGAAATAATAATACAAGCATTATTTCTTATTATGATTTGATCTTAAACTCATTTGAAAGAACAAAATCAATTGTTTTAATTAATTAATTGTATTTTAATTAATTTTTTTCTAGGTAATATATAAATATCATAATATTTCTGTTGATATGACAATAGATCATTTAAAAGATAAATCATTGGAAGGACTTAATATTAATATAGTAAGCTGATGTTTAAATGAATATCATTTAATGATTATGAATATTAAGAATAGTGTTGCCATTTCTCTTATTATTATTTAGCTACTCTTTCTTATTGTTTAATATTCTTGAACATTAATTTAATGGACAAGTCCCCAAATTAGAATATAGTTGAATAGGAACGTAATCAAATAATAAATAAGAAGGCTGGATGGAAGTAAGAATCATAATAAGAAAAATGTTAGTATATATTTATAGTTTTTACATGAACGGATTCTAGAGTCTTCTTCCAGTATGTGCTAGCGTTGATTCGTTTAAAAAGAATAACCAATCAACATGCCACAACATAATTCTTCACTGGACATGCTTTAATTCAATTTATATCCCGCTAATAAGTGGATTATGTAACATTTTTTTAATGAGATAATATAGTTTACATATGTGTAAAAAATCAGTTTATTTTGAATGGATTACAAATATCTAATAAGTTCAAGACAGATATTGTTTCATTCTATCTTGAGACTATTTGAACAACAGGTATCCATGATCTTGGACAAGACGGTGGGGGACAGGGAATGAATTCTGTAGTTTTATATTTTTCATGACATTTAAATAAACAGTATATTAAAACTCTGTGCTCTACATGTTTAACAAATTTTATTAATAACAGTGAATAATAATGTAAACCATCTGAACTTAAAAAATGCATATCATTGGATGTCAATTCAGTGATTTAAAAAGTAACTGTTCAGCTGAAGGTTTAAAAGTTCTGAATTTGATACCTGATGAACTTTTGAATGTATACTGGTGATGAGCTCCATACATTGATGGAACTGGTATTCACTACTTCTGCGTTTTTAGTGATGGTCTGATTAAAATCAGTCAACTCATGATTTAAACCTGAAGGTTATAATTATATGATGAATGATATTATCAACTCATTGTCTATCAGTAAATGGTTTTTAAAAAATACATTTGTTAGAATCTATTTTTGATAATACCTATGATTTCGATGTAAGAATGAGCATACGGTGAGAATTCTCTAGTACCGTATATAAACTTATAAAACAGTTTTCTTATAGTTGATAGGTAAGAAAATTTGACAAATAACTCTATATGTGTAGATATTATTCAAACAAAGTGATACTTATATAAACTTGGTTAATTTTAACCGGTCTAATGAGTTCATAAGTAAACATTATAGTTATAAAAAACTACACTCTGTGACACATGTTAATAAGGGTTTATAATTTCCCGTTATTGAAATTCAGAGATTGTAATTAGTCGGTTAGATGGTAACTGTCTATACTCAGTTGTAGTTCAATATAAACTGCGCAAGGAGCTTGAGTCTCAATGTAAACACAAACATTAGGATTTGGCTGGTATATAAAGCTGAAAAATTCGAAATAAAAAGAAATAGGCACCCGGGATTCCTTTGCTATCTATCTGTTACAACAGCCTCCTCGAAACAAAACCCCTACCATTTAAATTAATTCTAAATTTTTATGGCCTCATATAAAAAAAAAGAGATGGAATATTATTCACTTGTTTAAAGGTACAATATTCTTTTATGAAAAATAAAAAAAAGTATTCAGAATGTACAATCATGGAATCGTGGGATATTTAGACATCGTTTCTAACATTGAGAGTATACAACCACAAAGGGCAAATTCGTTTATCTAATAAATGAACTGGGAACGTGCGAAACGAATATATTAACAAAGAAATAAACAAATCTATTTAATTAAAGACTTACGCCTGTTACTCCCAATGGAGCATAGGCCGCCGATCAGCATTCTCCAACCCACTCTTTCCTCAGCCTTCCTTTCCAGTTCCATACAATTCTTCTCATGTCTATCTCCATTTCCCTGTGTAATATGTTCTTTGGTCTTCCTATTCTCCTTTCGCTTTGAGGATTCCAATTAAAGGCTTTCCTTGTGATGCAGTTGGGTGCTTTCCACAATGTGTGTCCTATCCACTTCCATCGGTTCTTCCTCATTTCTTCCTCCGCTGAGATCCGGTTTGTTCTCTCCCACAATTGATTGTTGTTGATATTGTTTGGTCAACGGATCCGAAGTATTTTTTGTAGACAACTGATAATAAACACTTGTATCTTCTGGATAATGGCTTTTGTAGTTCTTCTAGTTTCCACCCCATACAGTACAACTGTCTTGACATTTGTATTGAAAATTCTGAGTTTGGTGTTGGTTGACAGACAGTTGTTTTGAGTTGGAGATTTTCTTCAATTGTAAATATACTGCTCTCGCTTTACCGATCCGCGCCTTCAAATCTGCATCAGATCCACCCTGTTCATCAATGATGCTGCCCAGATATGTAAAGATTTTTACATCTTCCAAATCTTCTCCGTCCATTGTGATTGAATTGTTGTATGCCGTGTTGTATCGGAGAATCTTGCTTTTCCCTTTGTGTATATTGAGACCTATTGCTGCTGAGGCTGCTGCTACAATGGAGTCCCGCCCGGAGTCCCTCCGGGGGCTACTGCTGGCCCAAGCCCGGATAAAGGAGGAGGGTTGAGCATGAAGTTAGCGACTTCATCCTGTAGAAAACTAACTCGCTAAAAAACGCTAACCAGAAAAAAAATTATCCAAACTTAAAGACTACTACGTGAAAAATTAACAAGAGGATAAATAAAGTTTCGATTAAATAATTAGTGTATACAAAGAAAATTAAATTAAAACAAGAAGCTGAACCAATAGAGTAAATTTGCAACTCAGGATGTGGATTTTGAAGGTGATAAAGTCTCTGATCTGGAGACTGTAACACTAATGAAGCTGAAACGTTATAAGTAATAGTAGTAGAATGAACAAAATGTTAACCACCGAAACTCTTGGAATTCCAGTAATTCTTCTTTGAATAATTGGATTGGTCAGTAATGCGTTTTTTTATTCCAGTCTATCGGAACAGGACAGTACTTTCTCTAATTACACAGCCGACCTTTGGTACTGATAATTTTTGATAATTGAGCGCCAGATTTAGTTTCTAAGCTCTTGTTGAGTCGGCTTCCGATAATTACAACGGAGCCTCCAGAGGCCCCAATGGGGTCGAAAAGTTTCCATCCAATCAGAACATGATGGAACTTTTTAGAATATCAACGTGGCATGCTATGGTTGAACAGTAGCATAATAGGTCTCTTTGCGGATTGGCCGGATTATAATTTTGATTTAACAAATGCTAATATCTATAAATACCCATGATTTTCTGTACAATTCGATTCTTATCAAATAAAAAATTCTCCAGCTTTTCTTCTGTTTTCTGATTTGCGACGGTGAAGTTCCAACGTTCGAGCATCGTAGTCGTAAACCATGTTCTGAGTTAATCAGGTAGCGAACTTAACACTTCTAGTAACCCCCAGGTTAGATCTACACAGTGACTTGGACACGAGAGAAAAAACGAGAAATATGGACGAAAAAGCTCTACTCCAAAGGTTCGTTTCTGTGCAGAAAATCTTGGTTTTTAAAGCATTTTAGGTGTTCTTGGGTTTCTGGAGAATCCTGGAAGGATACTAAACATAATAGCAGTATAAGTAAACATCAAATCAGAAAATCAGAATGTGACTTTCACTTTCTAGATGTTTCTGGCAAAATTTCTAGTGAATGCTGATTAGATAAGATGCTTCTCAGTGTTTTCAGAGCCTTTGTTGGCATTTTTCGAGTTTTCTGGATCTCCCTAACAGGTACAAATGCATCGATTTATCAAACTGTAAAGGACCATGAGTAAGTTGGAAGAAAAATGTATTTCTGTCGAACAACTAACAATGACTTTATCGGAAATGGATGAATCAACTCACAAGTGAACAATCAAGATAGCAGCCGTCAAAATAAGAATTTAATCAAAATAAAATAGCCATCATCAAAGAAATACCAAGAAGTAAAGCTGAGACGATTGGTCAAACATAATTATAATTATATATAAGCAGCAACCTTGTTTCGAATCAAAAGTCAAATATGGTACACAAAAATGGATGGATGAGAAGGGTAACTTTATATTTGAGTAGAAAAGAAAAGTTGGTGAAATGTACTACATACATATGAGGGGGAAGGGTGAGACTATTATTTATGAACAACTTTTGAACGAATCTTAAGTGACCCTGAGAAATGTCAGTCAATTAAAAATAAATTTGGTATAGAGAAAGTATATTTTATGCAAAGCCAAAACATTAGAGTAGATACACTTCTTTGACATGGTGTAAAGCATTTTTAAGGTCAGAATGAGTCTCTACAGTCCTCAAATAGCATAAGGTACAGGAACTCCAGAACAGTCGACCTCTGGAACTGTGATAGTGTCGCGAAAATTATTTTATACTCGACCACATTCCTTCCATATTGTTGGTTTGTACTCCGATTGTGAAGCCTACAAAATGTATCTTGTAAATAAAGACACGATGCATATAACCAAGTCTTGATAGTGATGTACATGCTCTCTAGTCCTATGTGTATAATATAGTGCCCGGTTTCACATACCCTTTTATAATTAGTATCAGCGTTGCAGATTGTCAGTTTCTAACGTGCTGAAAATGTTCTTTTTGTAATAATCTATAATATATGCCAAGGACCTGCTAACTATACTTAAAAGAACTAAAGCATATTCAGTTTTCTCGAATACTTCTCCCTTTATTGAATATGCGTTTTCTATCGACTGTTTCATCGATTTCTACGATTCCTCCAAAGGACCGATTTAAGCTCGTCAACTGTATTGCAAATATATCTCTATAGCTCTCATACTATTGAACTGCCGGAGCTTCAGCAGCATTTGAAAAGGTTGCATACAGTGTTGTTGGTGCTTTTATTATCCAGTTTTCAAAGATCATCAGAACCTGTCTTAGTGTCAATCGGATCGAGTGAAAATATTCCTCATTCTAACAGGCTTTTTCTTCCAACGTATATTCCGTCGAAATACAACATCGTCACGATGGTCTGCACAATGTCCAGAGGTAATTTGAACACCGAAATCACAAATGAAGGAATTCATCTGTTTTAGTCGCCCAACTGTAATGTCCTCCTTGAAATCCACCGTAAACCGATGGTACATGTGCATTGGGTGCTGATGTAGGCGTCATGATCTTGAAATCACTTACTCGCTTTTGACTATCTCGTCCGCAAATCATAGTCTCGCTGTAAAGGACTTTGAAAGGATATTTTAAGTTATTTGTTACACATTACAAACCAATAAAAATGGCTAAATACATTTTAATGTGCTACCTATTGATAATAAGTAGTATAGTTTAGTACGTCATATCAAGTCTTCGAATAAGGAAACCGGGATCGGCCAGTATGTTGATAAAAGTGTGAGTTATTTAGAACCTGTTTTGTAATGCGACGCAATCACAGTGGCCATTGAAAAAAATCGAAGATGAACGGAATTATGATTCCACTTGATTACAAAAATTTTTTGAAAGTTCGCCCTCGACTATTGGGAAGCTACTATTTCATCAAATTGCATATCGTTTAATTCACTACTGTTTTTTCGAGAAAAAAGTATGAACTTTGAAGCTGCAATAGTTTACAGATACATTGATTATTTTTGTTTACCACAAGATGGTTGTATAGTCTAAAGGAAACTCTGCTTGACCCAGGTTTTTTACTAGTTGGTGCACAGAAGTAATAGTGTACTTGTAATATTGCGTAAACTGATTTTCTATGAATGATTTGAATCCAGCCCACATAAATTCTCATAGTCTGTAACGCTACCACTAAGTCAGTCGGTCCATGACTAGCCTTCTGTAGAACTGAAATATTCACATTGATTAATAACTGCATATTGGTAACCAGTGTCCTGTGTCTTTGATGCTTTAATTGATGAACATATTCTGCCTAATCAAGTTATAATATATCCCGTTAGTTTACTGCACTCATTGTTACGTTAACTTCGTTTTTTATGTTAAATGGTTGAATTAGTCGATGGGAGATTATATTTGACCACTTATAGGTCATGCTGCATCTTGATCAGATGGGTTCAATCAACACTAAATGACTAAATACAGTGATATTGCTCGTAAGTACTACTACTACCACCACTCAGTAGTCAGTCCATCAATGTACACTAGTTTACTGTTTTCATATATAGACTCTGAAAGCAGTCAATCTACATTTTGTCAAATTGTCCGAAAACTTCCCTCGACAAAGTCTCTAGAAGCCCAGAAAACGCCAGGAAATTTTTATATAATTCTCATTAAATAGAAGCTTTTGAGAAAAAACCTAAAAAAAAGAAGGATCTTGTGTCACATTTTTTGATTGGACAATCTCCTATTCCGTTACTCTAGTTAATATGTTTCCAGGATGTTCTAGAAAATCAAGGCCACATGGAATCCTATAAATACTCGATTTTCTGTACATAGACTAATCTTATAGTTAAATTTTTACCCATATTTCGCTTTTTTTTTTCTATCTTGTTTAAAATTGAAGTATAGAATCAGTCAGGGGGGTTTTATAGGAAGTGGTTAAGACGTCAGTAATAAGCATTCCCCTAGCACATTTATCACATTTATAATTAATAATAATAGAGAATAATGGAATAATTAATTTTCACTAAATATAATTAACAATAATCCTATTAAGTAATATATCGTTGTTCATATTTATTATTGCATAGAATAATACAAAAGCTGATTTATATCTACGCTATACTGAATCAAATGGAGAAGAACGTGAAATACTTATGTATGGTAAGTATGAATTTACTGAATTAAAAATTATTAAATAATTAACTTGTATACAATACACTGTAATATGGTCATTCATTAATAATTTGTACTATGCATTCGATTGAAGTGATATAATATATTTATTGAATAAAGATATTCACACACACACACGCAAACAATAACAAACAAATACAAATGATTTCACTCTAGTACTCATTTTTACACACTTTACATAATCTTCAAATAATAATAGACAGGTAACAAGTGTACACATAATAGTAATAATAATAATAATAATAATAATGCATACTTGTGTATATTTGTAGCAATTAGATAGGTGAAAAAAACTTGGAGAGAGTAATCAAGGAAATTGAAGATACAATCTGTTTTGTTGAGATCAACTCAAGATAGATAACTATTGTAAAACAAGATTCTTTCTTGTGCCGATTTGAGACACATTACTAGTGCATAATGAAGATCAGCATATTTACAATTGAAGAACATCTCCAACTCAAAACAACTGTCTGTCAACCAACACCAAACTCAGAATTTTCAATACAAATGTCAAGACAGTTGTACTGTATGGGGTGGAAACTAGAAGAACTACAAAAACCATTATCCAGAAGATACAAGTATTTATTAACAGTTGTCTACACAAAATACTTCGGATCCGTTGACCAAACACTATCAACAACAATCAATTGTGGGAGAGAGCAAACGGGATCTCAGTGGAGGAAGAAATGAGGAAGAAGCACTGGAATTGGATAGGACACGCATTAAGGAATGCACCCAACTGCATCACAAGACAAGCCCTCACATGGAATCCTCAAGGCCAAAGGAGACTAGGAAGACCAAAGAACACATTACGACGGGAAATGGAGATAGATATGAGGAAAATGAAGAAGAATTGTATGTAGCTGGAAACGAAGGCTGAGGACAGAGTAGGTTGGAGAATGGTGATCGGCGGCCTATGCTCTATTGGGGGTAACAGGCGTAAGTAAGTAAGTAATCGAAGACCCCATCTACGGTCTAACCCAAGACTCTCAGACCACGGAGCGAGTAGTTTGGCTTTTGGGTCACTGAGGTCAGCATTCAATCATGTACTTGTCTAACTTTAATCAGTTTACAATATTGTGTGGCCATCGTTCAATATCCTTTATGAGTAACTACCTAACACCTGACATGGTTGGACTCCACTGGTTTCGGCTTCTCACTAGAGTGATGTGAATCACCAACTGAAATTAGTCACTAGTGAGCATATTATAATTATTTGTATAGAGATTTGTGAAAATCGTTGGATGATAGTACTGGAGTAAAGAACCCACCTAAGGAGTGGTCCCATATTAGAACGAAACACCTGTCCAGTGATTCTTGGTTTTTATTGACTGCTTAAACTTGATTGGTCAGGTATCTCAGTAATATTCAAAATTCTCTACAAAGCCCTGTTTTGATAATTGCCATATATGTATCCGTTTATCACATTTAACATAACCATTGTGGTGTGTGCTACTTATGTCGACGTAAGTAGTATACAACACCAGTCAGGAATGAAATGCTTGACAGAAGAAAGTTGAGAAGATCGATGAGGGAAGAACGGGAATAGTAAGCAACCAGTATGGAAATGCAGGAACGATGAAGTCCGAGACAGGTAATTAACATTTTGCAAATGAAGAATTGGAGAATAATTTTACTATTTCATCAACTCTATAATTTTGCGCCAAATATAATATAAGTTGTCGATCAATGGTGACCCACTAGTGTTGGCTGTAGAGCTTACCAGGTTGCTGCGCCGCGCGCTACCAAATCTGGATGAGGAGTCAGACCCACAGTTGTTGGCGTTGCAGTTTATCGAGAGACTGTCTGCCGTCGTTTCCCAGCAGCTGAAACTAGTAAGAGCCTCACAACTCATGGATATCAGTGAACTGACGAAAGTGACCCGACAGTTGATTACCCAAACAGTAGCTCCGGTGGGTTCGGGAGTCAAGAGATAAACAGTCTCGAGAAGAATATTGAGGAGCTGCAGCGTGAGATTGCTTCAATACGAGTGAATCATAACAGGAATAATAAGTGTTACGCCTGTGGAAGGGCAGGATATTGGGAGATAGACTATCCAACAAGACGAACGCGCAGATATTTTAGACGTTATAACTCGTGTTCTTTCTACCCAAGGAATCTGGACGGGTTGTAACAGTAAATAGAGGGAAGGTTTACACGAGAGTAAGCATAAACGAATGAGACTTAGTGTGTCTGATTGATACATGCAGCAGTATCATAATAGGCAGAGAGCAATGTAAGAGACTCAAGCCATGTACATTAGCAGTTAACACCATTGGAGGGCACATGTTGGTGTTGAGTATGTCTAACGGTATCGTAAAAGTAGGTGGTGCGGAGATAAATTTCCCGTTTGTAGTAACCACAAGCCTATCGAGACCGATAATAAGAGTAGATTTCCTAAGAGAAGCAAAAGCAATAGTTGACTTAAGAAGCAGTAAGGTGGTCACAAAGTACCATTCATTCCCAATACATGAAAGTAGCGAAGTAGCTGAGATAAGAGTGGTTGTAGTTGTATAGTTGTGTACAACCATACAGAAACAGATTACGCCAAGCATGTGAGAGTGGTCTTAAAGTGAGTTGAAGAATTCTGACTTTGAATTATTGAGGACAAGTCTCAGATAGCGAAAAGTAACGTCACGTAGGGGCATAAACTGCTACTGGAGAAAATTCTAAGCATAAAGAACATTGCAGTACTTAATTCGAAAAGAAAATTGAGACAGTCCCTAGGAAGGGCGGCGTTCTACAGTCGGTTCGTCAAAAACTTCAGTGAAACAGCAGCACCCCTAAATAAGTTGTTGAGCAACACTAATTTTACGTAAACAGAAACCACCCAACAAATGTTCTACCGAATCAAAAACATACTGGGCAACCGCCAGTTGACTCTTAGACTGCTTAAACCTGAGAAACCGTTTACAGTGACCACAGATTCAAGTGATCATGGTATAGGTGCCATCTTGAGTCTGTCTGACAGGGTGGTGGAATACGCGAGTCGCGTTCTTACACCCGCAGAACAGAAGTATTCAACGATCGAAAGGGAGTGTTTGGTAATTGTGTCCGCAGTAAACAAATGGAGATCGCACTTTTCAGGTAGACGATTCCACATCGAGACTGGCCATGAACCCCTACAGTTCCTGAAACAGCAAGAGACCCCGTGGGAAGTTAGTTCGATGAATGATGCATTTTGCAGGAGCAAGACTTCAGTATCGTCCATGTTCCAGAGAAGGAAAGCGTAATGGCGGACTACTTGTCGAGACCAGACATGGAAGCCGAGCTTCCATTGATAGCATACAAAGTGAACAGTATAGAGGGAGTCCCACTAGAACTTTCCCGGCAGCAAAAAGCTGACCCTAAACTTCGAGAGGTAATCAAAGTGATAAAGGAGAGAGCAGATGTCGACAAACGAGCAATGGACAAGGAGGTAGCAATATTGCTTCGGCAAAAGGAAAGACTGGGAGTAAACGAGTATAGAGCCCTGATCTGGCAGGATGATGAAGAAAATTGGGTGTCCTCGTCTGCATTCTCCTTAGTCACAATATTTATTCATCACATTTTTACGTTAAGGATTGCCGTTAGTTTATTGTTTCTATAGAGATTTTTCTGGGGATTCGGTTTATAATTTGATAAAATAACTTTCGTTAATGATTGAGATCAATATTGACTAACTTTAGATGAAGCTGTCCGAAGTTACTAGCTGAAGTCATGTGACGTGAAGTTTAGACATATCAAAAGGAAGATAATCATTATCATCAGTGCTATTGCATAACTGTTGAGTTTTCGTAGTGAATTTATTGAGCTCAAATGTATCGACCGATAAGTTTCAACTGAATGTAGTCGAATAACATCTGATACGAAAAATAGGTCAAGCAGAAATTCCTGTCGACTGTCTCCCACCACCTAATATCTAAGCAACTTGATTGATAGAATTCTATCAGTAATAAGGATTACCTAAACGTAACATTAGCTACTAATCAGTAATTTATTTATTTATGTTAGGGGACAAGATAGTAGCGTCACACAAACGAATAAAGAGTATTATGAAAGAATAAAAAAGACGTGGACAGTACAGTCAGTAAATAACCAAACAGAAATGATGTCTGATGACAGATACAACTCAATTTAGGATACTCCAGAGAAGACTTCTTGTTAAGATCACTTCACAATTATGAAAAGTATAATAACACAGCAGCCAATCAGTCATATCTATTAGTATCTCAAGTTAGTGAGTTGTACTATCACTGGGGCTCCGACCGTAGAGTTGTGATATATCAACTAAGACAAATCCTAGTCCTATACAGCTATATTTCATTCCATGATACTATGTTATAAACTGACCACTTCGCCACTTTTTCACCCAGTCCTTCAGGGCCTTCAGGGTTAACAAATGATACACGATATGATAGTCGGTGGAATAGCATTCATAAAACATGACCATTTCACCCGAATTCGATGTTTTAAGGTGGTGATATTAATCGAACTATTGTGTCAAAATACATATTGTCGGACTGCGGTATTTCTAAAGTATCGTTCCCAATGGATGTGAGCTATCCTTTATAGACGACAGTGATGGAACATAGAAAGAGTGAATTTCACAGAAGCAGCGAAATTGCCGAATGATTAACCCACTACATATGTAGTTTGAGTAGAAAACGATAGTACACACTAAATATCCCAGCAAATTATTCACTTTATAAACTAGACTTATTCCTTTATCATAATATTTTTGTCAATGCAAATATGAGTACTTGATTTGTAAGAAAGCTATTTCAGGTGAGTAGTGTTTATACAAATGCATAATCTAGCGGCAAACATTTAAATATATCATAATATCGTGAATTGATTGAAAAGTCGTGAGTAGTCAGATTTTGGGCATGTCTGTCGTGAAATAGTTACCATCAAAGACATAAAATTATCGTCGCACGATATCGCTAATAGGTTGCTGTTAAAATTGTACTACTATACGTCGGCTCAGTGGTTCTAGTGGCTAAGTGTCATCCACGAATCCTGAAGGTTCTGGGTTCAATCCACATTCGCACCTTATTGGTTTTCAGTACTGAACAGTCCCGTACTAGAACCAAACAAATGTCCAATGCTTTCTGGTTTCAATGGTACCTCAACTGAAATAAATCTATAATAAACACAACATACAAATAATTAAGTGATCTTTTCCCATTGAATACATTCATCGAATAACATGTGTTTCTTTCCATCTACAGGTCCAGAAAATCCATTCTTAATAGCACTCTCTAGTGTTCAACTGAATACTACGGATTCTTCACTGAGTATTCCTAAATCAGCAACAACTGTTTCTAATACTACTAGCAATACTACTAATATAAATAATACCACCGGGAATAATAGTCCAGACAGTAATACTAATCACTATAAAGATATATTGGATCTAATAAAGAAAGTCTCTTTATCACCACAATCGGAGAACAGAGCAACTGATCATAACCACAACAACGGTAATGATTACATTATTTCAAGAGATCAAATTAAAATTAGTTTTGTACTTCGTCCTGTAGACAAATATTATCCAACTGAAGATAACCAACATCAACATCATTATCAAAATTATCAAAGTAAGATACACCTAATTAATTCATTCGGTAGATTTTTTGCCTCTAAATAATATATTCATCATAGACTGATCACAATAATCAGAGATCCTAGTTTTAATTTTTACTGAAATCAGTCATAGTTATGAATTTCATTGAATAGTGAGGAGGAGGAATGTCACATTGAGATTAGACAGCTATTCAACTGTTTTTAGTTTTCAAATGGGTGTATGTAGAGAAATAAATGAACCATGACGAACAACAGAAGTTATTTTGGGGGACATTGTTTCACTTGATTCAAGGTTTGTAAAGTAAATTTAGTTTTATCACCAACTTATACTGCCAATCACAAGCTGTCGTTTAATGCAAGATTCACTGATATGCCCTTTTCCATTTCAAGCTATCGTAATTTAAACATAACTTTTTGCGCTTTGTTTTTCTACCCTAATGTTTAGTTTCGACATAATTGCATTTTTCTGGAGATTTTGTGCGTTGCGGTCATGTTAGTCATCTGTTGATTCATGTATCTTTTTACACTAATCTGAGTCGGAAATCGGCAATCAGGAATCGAGTAGTTTTCCAGTTGACTCATCATCTCTCTCGCTTTTCAACTAGTAAAATAATAGGATAGTTTTCGTCTCTCTGCCCAAAGTCGTTAGTCTCAATTTGGAAACGCGCATTTCTAGCCACAAGGTTGAACTAGTCAACCTATCGTGTCAAGACCTTAGCCTAGATCGAGACAAATCTTCTCCTGTAATATTATTGGGTAGAGGGGTCAAGGACGTAACAAAAATATTATCCTAAATGAAATCATTTCATAATGAATACTACCAATGAAACTCAACCAAGCTCCATAAAAAATCCTTTCAAAAAGTTTTTTTCGTGTTTATTTACACATTCAAAGTATTTATTTCTCTATTAATGATTAATTCACTCTTTTTATGATGTCGATTTGTTACCATAGATGATTTACAATGTGAATTAAAAGAATGAATCATATATAACTTTTGTTGGTTATGACATTCTATATAACTGGTTTCTCATCTCTCTTTCCATTATGAAATTTCTGAAATACTCAAAAATGATTTATTATTATAGTACTATTATAGTGAACAAGAATACGAGTGGGGCAGTAGAATGTATTTGAACATGAAATTACAGAATATCTCACTAAAATCTAAGAACCATACAGTAAATACTTAATTTGCAAACTATCAATCAATTGCCTCAAACTTGACTGTTCTTTTGCAAATATCGGTTCATCGGTTCATTGTTCGTGCATTTCATACCAATTGCTTTCCGTTCCCGTTGTTCTGTTCTCCATCATCTACTGAAATACATTCTATTCCTGACCATCGTTATATACTCATGTGGATATAAGTAGCTCAAACCATACTATTAACAGTCGAAACTTTTATAATAGTATGGTTATGAAATAAAACTTAACCTATATACTGCTGCTAGCTGAAGAATTAATTTTTTTTTAAATCAGGAAATGTTCATCAGCAATTCCTTGATTATATTTGTAGATTATACAGAAAAGTACATACTTCCAGATTGGTTGGTGTTTAACCATTGACGATGATACTGCGACTGACAATCACGGTAAATCTCGAACTGATTAAAGTTCTTATGAGAAATAAATCAGTGGATGATTCCCTATTCATGTTTTAAAAGTAATTCATTCGTCTTGATTTCTTGGATTCTGTGCTTGGTGACTGATTGATTTTACAATAATGCACACATTCCTAACAAGTTTCATACTAGGACAGAATTATTGTGTAACGATTTTTTTGCTTTGAATGATTCCTTACTCCCCTTGTTCAATTAGACATTAGTTTCTTTATTAAACCTCTCTTCTTAATTTGCCTATTTGTACGGCAAAATTATTTTAACCAAATAACGAATACCTGTTGAGGACTTGTATCTTCCTGTAATTGATACTAAAGATTGTAATTAATTAGTTTCTATTAACCTGTATGCATTCTAAGCGGATCACCTCGATATTAACATTTAATCACTAGCTTTAATCAGGTCGCATATTGGTTAACAGTGGAATACAAGACACACGTTTCACCTAAATTGAAACTTGTCAGCTGCTGTATACCGTGTTAACATTTGGAGTAAAAGGTATTGGATTCGAATAAGTTTTAGTGTGAACATCAACATACTGAGATGTGACAAGTACATCCAGCCGACGAGTCCTAAACAGAAAAAAATCACCTTGTAGTTACCTACTGCTAGACGTTATCCGACTTTAAGAATAAAGAATCTGACTTTAGATTATACTCAATAAGTCATATGTACATGATTGATTCTATCTCTTAGAATCAGTTATATGCACAACATATACATGCATATTTTAATCACATCAATCATATTTTAACCTAAACATTGAAAATTATAAACACCTTTAAATATATATGTGTATATGCTAAGCGTTTTCAACGAATTCATTTTCATAAATGAAATAAACATGATTATTTGTTTGTCTGCTGTTATTTTTCCATTACAAAACACAAAGATATGCACATAATTTGTAATTTTCATTCCTGATTAGAAGTTTCAACAAAATCTGATATGAAATCTACAGAATATGTGAGACAAGAACGTGGACGTTCCACATCGAAATCATCTTCAGCATCAGCATCAAGAAATCGTCGAAATGATATGACACAAAACAATAATATGATGACTAAATCCAGTATATTCTTAAACCATAATAATACAAATGTTAGCAAACAAAATACTAGTACTAATGTACCATTACGTGGTGCAATTAGTACTAGTTCACTTCAAATTGGTACAGCACAAGAAATACAATGTGGGCAAATTTTTGGACGTCTACCTGAACAATGTTGGCCTGATTCTCAATTACCGGAATCTTTAGTGGTAAATTAGTTATCTATTTTTTTTAAAGCTGTGCGATTTTTCTATCGCTAGAGATTCGAATCGATATCACGTAGTATATTGCCAGTCAGACCAGTGACCTGTTTCTTGAATGCATACGTTAACCAACGGATAACAATCAGAATCTTAACGCTGATTAGTCCTCGGCTCCTCCTAAAACGGAAGTAGGTAGGAAGCAGATTAGTTATCTATGGTTAGCGTTTTATTTAGCAAGGTTGTTTTCTACGTGGTAAGGTTGCTAACCCCATCCCCAACCTTCCTTCTTTATCCGAGCTTGGGACTGGCAGTAACCCTAGAAGCACTACAGAAGGAGTTATTTCTCTATGTTATACAATTAGATAAAAGCTCGAATTGTATGAAATAATGTCTGACTACACAGGATAGCACACCAAATAAGAAGACACACTTTAAGCACAATTGTACCAGGAGTGGTGGTGGGCGAAACAAGCAGTACAAGGTTAGTCAGCGATAATTAAAGAATAGCGCTAGACCCATTGAAAGTTTACACAATAAAGGGAACATTTAACTGCAACAATAATGTTGTCTACCAATTATACAGTAAAGAGATAATAATAATCCGGTAAATAGCACCGAGTTTCAACTTTCCCAATATTCGTCCCGTCATAACAATTTCACTAAAATTTAAAATGAACAGTATAATTTGACGTTCATACACAAATTTTCATTTCAGTATTCATCTACCGATAAGATAATTACCAGAAGGGGATTGTGGGTGTGGGATCGTGGACGCGCACTGCTGAGGAGTCTCATACTAGGACGAAACGGCCGTCCAGTACTTCCAGGTTTTCCATGGTGGTTTAGCTTCAATTGACTCATGATTTCAGTCAGTGATAAAATAATTGTTTGAAAAAATAAAGTTAACCTCTATTACTATTCGAAACACATTTTATTCAGAAATTGTTTTTCTGATGGGACACTATTTGATCATCACTATATTTACTCGTTGTATATAATGAGAACTGCAATTAATCAATCTCTATTGGGATGTAAGGAGCTTTTGCAAATTGCCTCAATATAAACTTTTTGTAGCATGTTTGACAAAATAGATAGAATACGGCTAGCAACATAATCCCGGCTAGCTCATTTCTACCTATTTTGGACAAATCACGTGGATAAACTTGTAACCCACAGTGTTGATGTGGATAATGAGATTGGAACCAAGTATGCTCCAAATGAAATGCTGATACTTTATACACTGAGCTACTGGGTCTGGGTGGTTTTACAATATCATGAGTTGATTAAAGCTAAAAATGCAAACCATTGGATGCCAAATTAATAAGTTAAGTGCCAAGAACTAATCTGGGTTCATTTCACGGTAATTTCATGAGTGAACACTTCTGGGGATCCCTAGGTTACGATGAAACAGCTGTCTGTTTGATGTAAAGCAAAAATGAAGCGGATTATTGAGCTATATTGTGATCCGTGTAAACATGACGCTATTGTGTAAGCAATTATATATCCTAGTGTGATTATTAATTAGATCGCTTTCTATTCACAAAAGGACGCAATGGTCAATGAAAAAATAATCAGGTCTCTAACACCTATCGGTCTTTCAACTCTTTCCAACCTATTGTCCATTAAGAAGACTAAGATACAAGACATTCAGTTTGTTTTGTACTCTTCTTAGTCATGATTCAAAAATCATACAGTGTTATACCTAGTTTATCTGATCACACAGCAACACGAATCGAAAATCCTGATATTAAAAAAACTCATTCATAATTGGTACAGAGAAGACTAATAGAAAAATAATTAGTTTATGATCATTCTGAAACAATTAGACATATAATAATAATTTATGGGTTGAATGAAAACTAACGAATAGGCAAATATAAGATCAAGGTAACAATTACACGACAAAATTCCAAACAATGATTTTACATTGAAATCATGAAGCGAACAATATTAGACCACCATTAGAAACCTGAGAGCACTGGTAGGTCGTTTCGTCCTGGTATAGGGCTACCCATCAGCCAGCACCCACGACCCCGAACGTGAGGATCGAACCAGTCTCCCACATGGACACCCAACACCCAGACCACCGGGTTAGCATCCAACGGTCCTCGGTTCAGCTCCCGCATGTGGAGTCATGGATGCTGACTCCTGAGGAGTCTCACACTAAAACGAAACTGCCATCTAGTGCTTCCAGGTTTTCAACGGTGCTCTAAAACTGATCGGCTCATGATTTTAATGAAACTTAACAAACTTCACACCTGCATACTAATATTTTTTCATTGAGTACCTTCTTAAGTTTAGTCTTTCCGAAATTCACTTCTGCATGAAATCATTACTTACTAGTGTCGAATGTTTATCCAACTAACATTAGTTTGTAACTTAACTGTAATTGGAATTAAAAGTAGTGTGCTTTTACCGAGTTTTTCTCTTTTCTTGTCATGAGTAAAAGAAAGTAAATGGTGATGGTTTTCTTTTTTTGCTATTGTTACCTTCATTTTTAATAGAATCTATTTGCTATTGTATATTATAATGGGGTAAATGTTGAAGGAATATTTCGACGTACAGCTGTTCATAGTCAAATTGAATTGATGAGAGCACGTGTAGATGAAAATATTCAAATGATTACACCGAATAATTGTAGTCCAATTTTAGCATCGTGTGTTTTAAAGGTGAGTTTACGTAAATATACAGTTATTATATATACATGTGTACCTGTGCAGTATGTACTACTTGTGTTGACAGAAATAAACACCATGTAGCAGCAATCGGAAGTAAGTTGCCCTCCAGAAAACGATTGAATTGAAGAGAAGAGAAAGCGGAATGAAGAGCAATTGGAATAACAACAGAATTGACAGAATCATGGAGTATGTATTGGACAACTGAAGGAAAATGTGCAAATAATGTATTTCATGTATGATTTCCATATTTCAAGAAGACATTGTGTACTTTTGCACACAGTAATAAATTAGTTTACCTCACCTGAACTCTCGTTCACTCCACTTGTATGTATGATTACTATAATTATTATTGCGTTCGACGGATGTAATTCATCACTGATTGATATTGATTGAAGTAGCACTGAAATTTCGGAGCTCTAGATGTTTGTTTCATTCTAGTATATGTAACAGTGAATACAACAGTAATCACCAATATCATTGGTTGTTCGTCACACAATATTACAAATGATGTAATGTTGAGAATGATCACTGTTGCTCATCAATCCAGTGAATTAATAGTTAAGTGTGCTCTGAAAGATCTAGGAATTTTTAGTTTTGATGAATCCCATACGTAGATGAGACAGCTATTCATTATTTGTGGGTACCACAATTGATGTGAGAAAGTGATGAATGTCATCTTCAAATGTGTCATATGGTTGTGTTGTGTTCCCAGTAATAGTCTGTGCTTAATAGTCAGGGGAAGATTGAGAGTTGTCTCAGTATAATTGATAACCTTGAGGTGATAGGTTGCTTAATACAATCTTGAGACCTGTATCGCATAAGTTCTATTTGTGACTGTTCGGAGAGAAAAGAAACTATCGTACCACCAATAAATGACCTAATCGCTTCGGCAACAAGAGAGAAAGTTCGGTGGAGAATGCTCGTGGGCGACCAATTTTCCTGCATTAAGGGCAACAGGAGTACGTATTCTATTTCTTTCTTCATAATTAAAATGAAATCGATCTGTATTAACATTCATTTCAATAAGAGCATTTTCTTTTTTTCCTTCTTTTTTCTTATATAATAGAGGTTTTTCTGTGAAATACCTGGTCATTTGTTAATCGACTCTCATTGGGATGAGTGGGCCAGTTTAACTGAAATTAGTTCAACATCAGAACGTTTACAGGTTCTTGAAAGGTTAGAGTTGATTTTTTTCTAATTTTTTCTTAAATTTCCATTCCAAATTTATGACCGAAAAAAAGACACTATAACTAGTTCGTTTTTGTATTGGTTGTCTGGGTCTTCCAATTCATGTTTAGGACTGCAATTAACCGAGTTTGCTGAACCGGATGAAAGATGCAGTAGACGCCCAACTTCGAGATTAACAAGGATCGATCGTGCACAGACCAAATTGAGACACTACGGATCATCGTCGAACAATCAGTTGAGTGGAACTCGTCACTATACATCAACTTCATTGATTATGAAAAGGCATTTGACAGTGTGGATAGGAGGACGTTATGGAAACTTGTTCGACACTACGGAGTTCCTGAGAAGATTGTCAATATTATCCGGAACTCATACGACGGACTACAGTGCAAGGTCGTGCATGGAGGACAACTGACAGATGCATTCCAAGTAAGGACCGGAGTCAGACAAGGCTGTTTACTCTCTCCCTTCCTCTTTCTTCTGGTGGTCGACTGAATTATGAAGATCTCGACATCTGAGGGAAAACACGGAATACAATGGACAGCTCAGTATCAATTAGACAATTTGGAATTCGCAGATGACCTGGCCCTCCTATCACGTACACATGAACAAATGCAGATGAAGACAGCCAGTGTAGCAGCAGTCTGTGCATCAGTAGGCCTCAGCATACACAAGGGGAAAACCAAGGTCCTCAAATTCAACACGGAGAACAGCAATCCGATCACTCTTGATGGCGAAACTCTGGAAGATGTGGAATCCTTCACATACCTGGGAAGCATAATCGATAAACAAGGAGGTTCAGATGCAGACGTAAAGGCGAGGATTGGCAGAGCAAGGACAGCATTCCTACAGTTGAAGAACATATGGAACTCAAAACAACTTTCAACCAATATCAAAGTGAGAATCTTCAATACGAATGTCAAGGCAGTTCTACTGTACGGAGCTGAAAACTGGAGAACTACAACAGCCATCATCAAGAAGGTGCAAGTATTTATAAATAGGTGTCTACGCAAGATACTCTACATCCATTGGCCGGATACAATCAGCAACAGCCTTCTCTGGGAGAGAACAAACCAGCTTCCAGCTGAAGAGGAAATTAGGAAAAGACGATGGAAATGGATAGGATATACACTACGCAAATCGTCAAACTGCATCACGAGGCAAGCCCTAACTTGGAATCCTGAAGGAAGGCGGAAAAGAGTAAGGCCAAAGGACACATTACGTCGGATAATAGAATCAGATATAGGAAGGATGAATAACAACTGGGAGGAGCTGGAAAGGGTTGCCCAGGACAGGGTTGGATGGCGAATGCTGGTGAGCGGCCTATGCTCCTTCACGAGGAGTAACAGGCGTAAGTAAGTAAGTAAGTACTCATATATGTAGTGAACACAACATAAGTGGGGTCGGTCTAATGTATTACAGAATCTCTTTTCAAAATCTGAGAACCATACAGTAAATACATAATTTGCAAAATATCAATCAATTGTCTCAAACTTGACTATTCCTTCTGCAAATGTTAATTAATCATCTCAGACTTCACTGTTTCTTCATTTCCATAGCTATCACTCACTGTTGTCGTTTTCTTTTCTTCGATCTTCTTAATTCTCTGTCGTCAGGTATTTCACTTTCAACTGATGATACATACTATTTATATCTATTGACATCAGTAGCACACACCACAATATGTATTTAACTTAAGTGAAAAAGGTGTCAGAAAGGAATAATCATATAACTCAGTAAATTAGTTACATTTTTCGATGTTAGAAGTCTGATGTTATGATATTGTAGATTGTATTCATACAGTAAGTTATTGGTTCAATAATGTCAAGCGTTATTGAGTTTCATTTTCGTTGGACTTTGATAGTTGATCAGTATTTAGAGAAATATGTCAAATCAGTTATATGGGCATGGAATTTTGATTTTTTTTTAGTGTATAATTAATTTAATATATGTTGTCTATAGGCAATGGAGTTGAGAGGTCATATAAAGTAGGTGGGGAATGATTGGTCAACTCTTTATTTGATCTTCATCAATAATTCTCCAGGTTATGATTAGTTGTTGTTAGTGATGAAAATTGTCTTGATGTTGGGCAGTGAATTTTGTGTGTTGATCAACAGCATTCGATAAGCACTTAAGACTAGGCAAACATTATAGTAGCCACCTTAGTTTGAATAAGTTAGTCCCACAGAAGGTCAATCATATTCTGCTTAGCTTAGCTATAACGTGACGTAGGTGAAGTGTTCCATCTGCTAGCCAAAGGACAAGTATATTATGCATCAGTTCACTCCGTTCTACTAAATGGGTGTAAAACATTATCATAACGAATAGTGAATATTTGTGGATTGCTAGTATTCGATCATAGATACTTTCAAAGCATTACTCATATATTTTGAGACCACTGATTGGAAAATGCTAAGGTTAGACATAGGGTACTAAGTAAAAATGATAAATCAGTTGATTAGGTGGTTTGGACATGCATCATATGTACCCAACTACTTCCTACCTCGAACGGCGATGTTTGTTGGTGTAGGTCTAGGTTGGAGAAAACTAGCGGCGGCTAAATTAACACATGGCATCAGTTCATGAAATCATTGACTGTTGGACTGAGCCATGTAAGTAGGTGTAAACTAGATGATTGTGGTCCTCACGAATATTGTAACCACTGGTTGGAGATGTTGAATAAAATAGCTTAGAATCGCTCGTTATAGCACAGATGCATACACTGTTAGTCTTTCTGTAGATCTTTAGTCCTGAAATCTCTCTGTACTTCCTTTCTATACCTAATCCTTTTTAGCATTATTGACAATGTTATTACTTTTACTCTGGGATTTGTCACGATATTTTTTCTCTGTGCTAATGTGGTGCGGCAACTTCAGCTGTTGCACACATCTACCAGGTTCTACGTTGTAAATGAGTGAGTGTGTGTGTGTGAGAGAGTGAGTGTATGAGTGAGTTGAAGCATCTCAAAATCAGAAACTGAATGACTGGGCTTCGAATCCACTGTGGAGCAACTTTCTCCTCAAGGTTACTGATATGCCCTAAAAATTGACTAATGTCAACTAGCATACAATCTAGGTTCAGCGTTTCCAACTGACTACCTCTAAGGACTACCAGTTATTTGAGTATTTTCTCAAAAATTGCTATTTGCTACTGATGAATACTTTCTATGAGCATATATCTCTTTTCATTTGATCCGTATATATCAAATTTCAGATTGATTCGTAATCTTCCCAAGGTTAATCAGACATTATTGGCCTTGCTAATTTATTTACTTGCACATATTCGTGATAATGAAGAAATAAACCGTATGTCAGCTAGAAATTTGGCGGTTGTATGGGGTCCAAATTTAATTCAACGACAAATTCTCCATTAGCATTATCTGATTCTATGATAACGACACAAATTATAACTTACCTGTTGGAACCGGCAGTAACAAATTTCTTATTAAGCACTAGCAATGTTAAGGTGGAATTGAACCAACACTTTTCAAATATTTGGGGAAATTTTCTAAAAGACTCTAATAATAAGACAAAAGTTCAAAACACCACTACCACATCAACAGCAACAACAAATACTGACTCATCAGATGATGATAAAATTTATAAACAAGATTCTGATTTCCATTCTGAACGGAAAACAGCGAAACAACATCCTTCACGAAGAGGATATTCTGTTTCAAGTAAGTATTAAGAGGAATGAAATGTTATAATTTGATAATTGTGTCAGCAGTGTATAGTTAGATTCTTGACCGAACTGATGCCCGAATTGGGATCCTAACCTGACCCCATAGTTTAGGTAGAACTTTATCACTGAGAAATTCAGGTAGCTACTGGTCTCCTCTCGGGCTGAGAAATATTTACAAATGATTGGCCACTAAGTAGTCGTCAATGTCACGTTTTTTTAGGTTTTTCATGCTGATCGGATTCTATCGATTAAGCGCATAGTTTCCTGTCTATTAGGACGTAAATATACTCCCTCACCAAAAACCGACACAATCCAATAACAATCAATGGTAATAATAAAGATAGGAGAATGTATAACTCATCTAACACCTGTCAGATTATCTACAAATCTGACTAAACAAACAATCAATCATTATCATCCTTGTTCATACATCATATTCATAATACTATTAAGTATAAGACTTGACTTTTTATGGTAAGAACTATGATACAATAATTTTATTCATCTACTTCTTTTCTATTTTCTATTTTATGTACATGAATTTTGTAAATATGAAGGTATACCACCACAGATAAGGTGAGTTCTATGGATTATATTCATCAATGTATATACAATTTCCCTTGGTTAAACTTAAATTACATTTCAAGTACTAAACAAAATTTTTTAAAAAAAAAACAGAACATCAATAGACAAAACGAATGGCAATTTATTGTTCTAACTAGGTCCTTTCATTAATGAACAATTTTCTCACCTCTTCCCCATTTGAACTTCTCAATTCTGTTGAGTGATAATAATCTTATTTTACAAGTAATGGAATCATTGTTTTAAGATATATATTACATCTAAACTGTTGTGCACTGATTACATTTTTAATCATGATAACATCTACTAATCAAGCTTTCATATATTGCTAAGGCTAACAAAACAAAAACAAACAAAAAAGAATACCCACAGTCGTTTCAATATCCATTGACGATTATTTCTATGGTTTTAAAAGTTGAGAGTTTTTTGCTGCCATACGTGATTATCTTAAGTTTATTCCCGTGTGAGGTCGAGAATGCTAATTGTTCAGGAGTTTCATATTAAGAAAACGAAGTTTCCTATCGCAACCCAATTTTTAAATGAGGTAAACTTGGAACAAATGCTATGTAAAAATTTTAGAACTTTTGTTTAAAAAGTTTACAATTAATCAGCTTTAACTAACTAGCTTGAATCTTACGGAGTTGAAGGTCGTCGACAAGAAACCCTAGACTTGGGTTTCATGTCAAATAGGTGTTTTGTGTTTCCTGGTGTACTCAATCCAGTGTCAACCAGTTTAACAGTATTATATGTTGCCACTGACCTATTCAGGTGGCAACTGACCTCCTGTAGGATTGAGATGTATTTACGATTAGTTGACCACTGAATGGTAATGAACACCGTGTTTACCTAGCTGATCCACCTCGGGAGAGATATTTGTATAAAATGGAAATCTGGTCTGGTATTTCCAAGTTTTCCCTTTCTAATAATAATTCAATTATTTTTGTTACATTGTTGTTGGGGACGTTAGATCCACAGAACTCACTTGGGAAAGGACCTAATTTTGTAATTTTATTTAGAAAATTTAAATTTCTTTGTTTTCGCTCCAAAGGCGCTCTTGTCACCTTCATGTCGTATTTCCCACTGGGAAATATCTTAAATGCTATTGGTAAGTTGCGTCTCTTAATACGCCATTTCGTAACTCTCCCCAAGTACGGTTTTGCACTGTATATATACGTTATGAATTGTGTTTGTTGGGATCGCTTGTTTCTGGCTGTTTTGCAGAATATACTTCCCATTCCAAGCTTGGACTTCTCCTTCTAGTTAGCGGGGCTGGACGCATCAATAGCTAGCTTACTGATCTTTGATCACCGAGTCTTGTTCTCGTTCGCAGATTAAGTGAATTCGTGTTAGCTTCGAACCTAACAGTTGTGGAAAATATGTATGTAAGAAAAACGGTTATCCTACTGTCAAACAATTTTATTCTGCTTTAGTTAAATTCCACCTCATTACTGAATGTATTTTTTTGACAAATTGTAACCATCATCTTCAGTTCCTACTGTTTTTATTTATCTCCTCTCTTACTTCTAGTTCTCTGGAAGTGGACAATTCATTGATGAATGAAAAATTAGGTAATTCATTATTGAAAACAAGTGAACAACATCAACATACTGAACCGATAGTAGTAAATAATTCTTCTTCTTTAAATTTATCAATAAATAATAAATCTAATCATCAGTTAAACATGGAAAACCCATCACAGTCATCATTAATGAAACGAAGAGGTGCTGGACGTATGCATAAAAAAAAACATAGTTTTTTTAATCAATTAGCACTACCTGATCAAACAGGACCACCTAATTCTACTGGTAAACTAAATAAACAAACGAACTGTTTATCATCAACAGATTTGATTGCAACAGAATTAAAAAATATTATACGATCAAGAACTACATCAAGCATAGTATTACCATTATCATTTTCTGTAACAGCTACAACAACAACTTTAACAAATCCATCATTAACTTCAACAGTATCAGTAGAGAAACAAGAGTCTATGAAAAAGACAACTCCTTCAACAACAACAACAACATCATCATCATCATTATTATCTAGGCGCTCAAGAAATACATCTTGTCCGCCGAGTACAAATAAAGCAACAATTTCTAATGATAAATTTAGTATTCCTTGCCCATTGCCAAGAAATCAAATTAATCTGGAAGCACCACCTGTCCCATTAAGAGGTCAACAATTAACACATCAAGATGTTCGATTAAAACTTGCCAATAATAATAATAATATGAATCTGCCAAAGAATAATTCTAATCACTCAAAACCAACCAGTCATAATAATAATAATAATAATAATAGTAATAATCGATTACATGACGAAACAAGAATGCCGACTCCCACTCCCAGTACTCTTACTACTACATCGCCTATATCACGACAACAAAAACCATTTCATCGTAGATTTCGGTCACAGACATCGACCATTGAAATACCAGATGTTAGTTTACTGCATGCTGATACATATAGAATGCGACAAAACAAACTGAGTACTACTGCTACTACTACCACTACTACTAATAATAATAATAATATTAATAGTAATAATATTACTTATAAAAGACAACTTTCCATGGACTGTCCATTTAGTTATACTCAATCATTTTATGAACCATTCGAAAATGATCTATCAGTAAGTAGTCATGCTACTACTACTAATAGTGGTAGTAGTAAAACAAATGAGTCTACTGCACCAATTAAAATTATTTCAGTATCGTCTAGTAGCAAAGAGAGTGTTCCATTGAAACCTCACAAAAAATCATCTAACCATAGTACTAATGATTACGCTATCAATAATGGTAATAATCATACGACAAAATCCAGTAAATCAATCCATTCGTCTACTGATCACCGATCACGTAATAATAATAATAATAATAATAATAATAATAATAATAATAACAGTGTCAATAACAATATAAATACTAATAATAGCAGTATGCCACGATCAGAAAGTGATATGAGTATGATTTCAACAGATTCTTCATTATTATCCTTTTCATCCAATTCATCATCATCTTCATTACGTAAACATAATAATAAAATAAAGGACGATACAATCGATATTACCACAGGAATTCCATGTCCAGTTGTACATCGTCCAGAATTTAATACAACCGGTTATATTACTAATACAAAACGTAAATTTAGCCAGAATACAATACAAAAATCCAATTCACCTCAATCAATTAATGATTATAAACAATTTAATAAATCCACATATAAACATCCATTATCATCTCAACCATTTATTACACCATTACATTCAACAACAACATCTTCATCATCATCATTTTCATCATCACCATCACCGACATCATTTAGTAGTTCAGATATTGGTTATGTTACATCACATCATGAAAATTTAGAAAATATTATTCATGAAAATAATTCTAAAATATTAATTAATTGTGTAAATGATGAAAATCGTAGTAGTGGTACCGCAGTTAGTCGAATGAGTTCACATGCTTCAACTATATCAAGTGGTTCTGTGACAGTGATTTCAACATCAACAGAAAAATAATTATTATATTATTTCAAGTAGTTTATTCTTCTTCTTCCTTTTTTTCGTTGTTTTCTTTCTATGTATCGTTCCTTCCTATACCCTATATCAATTTAGACATAAAACACAATTCATTTGGAATTACATAACTGTAATATGATATATATGAATTATTTGTATGAAAGTCTATGAAATCATATATTGAATGAATATGAGATGATCATCAATCTATGCTTATTGTCATTCACATTTGATTGAATCAGAAACTGGGTTTCTTTTTAAAAAACAAAAAGAGTACAATATGAAATAGAATACTTCATATAACAAAATTAACCATTCATGTATATACGTACAGTATACATGAATACATTCCACCAGTGATGTATATCCATATAGTAAAGAGAGAGAGAGAGAGTGGGAGAGTAAAAAGGAGGAAAAGAGACAATATTCCCTTACTTTTAACATTAAACATTCCTTTGTTTCCTTTTATTTCATTTCAATTTGCAAAGATAGACAATAATTAATTAATTTTATTCATTACGATATCCATATTGATCAATCAATCAATCAATCAATCAATCAATCAATTTTGTCTACTTTCAAAATGATAACAATTGGTGTAATAATTGATTTTTAATACTTACTACTGAATTGTATTGATTATTGGTTACTTTTCTTTTGTTCCTCTTTTATGTACATAATATTTGGTATTTATTTTATAATTTGTTTACAGCATACAATATTAGTTTTGTGCTTCTCCTTTCCTAACGTGTCATTATTATTATTTTTTTGATCGAAAAAATTTCAATATGGAGATTTATAGAGATTGTAGTATTTTCACAATTGAATTCATCAATCGATCTAAACTAGATCACTATTGAAAACATGGAGTCACTGGACATCCGTTTCGTCTTACTATGCGACTCCTTAACAATACACATCTTCGATCGCGCTACACGATAATAGAGCCATGAATTTTGGGTCACACGGACGGACGCTTATTCTTTAGACCACTGGTCCGGTATTTAACGGTGTTAATGTTTACTAGGACCAAATGGCCGTTCAGTTCTTCCAGGTTTTTAATGTTGGTCTATCTAAGATCCGTTCATGATTTAACAACCCCTACAACTCCTTACTGACCATTTTGAAAATGTTAGCCTCTTTGGTAAGTTCACTTAAACGAATCATAAGATTATGGAGTCGACTGATCACTAGAGTTCGGTTATGTTATAAACAAGCCATTCGCCTTGGCTTTCATCATTTAAATAAATGACTAAAAATATAACCGGGAAAATCTCATTTCTACTAGTTCAGTATAATTTCTTCTATTCCTAGTAAACAGTCAGAAGATGAAGATAGCAAGCCGATAAGCATTCTACAGTTATGAATCTCAAAACGTAAAGAATTGTTAATTTATATCACGTGACAGATCACCAATCAAAATAATGAATCTAATGGGGTTTATTATATGTCCATAATTTACTCTATGGCTCAGTGTCTCGAATTTTGCCAATGCACATCAGACCATGACTAATAACCTTGAGTCAACAGCTAGTTACTATTGATTCACGATTCCATGGATTTTCTCTGCTTCGCCCTTGATTATAAAAGTCCACAATTGGCTTCTACGATATTTATGTTTCAAAAAGACGTGGTTTATAGACAGACATACCGAAACGCATATCACCATAAAATGAACAACAGCTATTCTTGAACAAACCGAAAGTGACTGTGACTTGGTAAGAACGTAAATGATAAACTGCGGACTGATTAAGAGTAGTAATTGATCAGTTAACCGAAAGCCTATGAAGAAAAGAATATATACAAGTATAATAATCTAGTGCTTTCATAATTATATATAGCATACATAAATATATATAGTGAGAGAGAGAGAGAATCCACAAATTAATTAACATTCCTTCAGTCTTTGTTCTGATTTAACATTTACATACATTAATTACCTGGTCATAATACACCTCAAATAAGAAATCCTGATTTGTATAAAGCCAAGTTTCGTAGATGATTTTAAAAAGAAGGACGATGAGTGGTTAATAAATTAATGATGGTTCTGAGATGATGAAACATTTATAACGACAACTAATCACCCAAATGAAAGTTTATTGTGACGACGGACCACGGGTGAACCCGAAGAAGCTGTAGGATGCTCAGGAGGAGCCGAAGATGTTCCATCTAATCACCTTTTGGAAAAATATTCTTGAATTTCTACGTGTAGCTTCCCGATTGGACAATGCTAATAACCCCTTGTATGCAGATTGGAGGACTGTAGTGGTGATTTCATTCTTACTAAAAACTATAAATACCTGACAGTTTTGTACTATAATTGACACTGTCTGGGAATAATATCCCTTTCATTAGTCTTCTATCTTCTCATTGCGACTTGGAAGGGTTCTGGCGTTCTAGTGCTCACGTTATACGCGGTATATCAAGAACAACCTTCTAGACATAACATATTTAGGGTAATATGAAGACATTATCAAAACAAATGATTTAGCAACCATACACTAGTGAAATATGTAATAATCTATCCCGCCACTCTCACATATTCACATCTATATAACAGGAGTCCGTGACTTCTTCAACTCATCTGTATGAAGATGGTTTTTGATACAAAATGATATTGATAAGATGGTCAATCATGAGCCATCTGAACCTATGACTTTTTATGATATTGAACCCAAGACTTTCTACTTCTATGATACGTATGATAATACTTGATTTTTTATAAAGAAAAATGCACCACTAAAAATGTGAGATATTTTCACTCTGATGAGAAGCTTTCATTGATCAGTTAAGAATTATTGGAAGATGATTATTCGCCATCAGAAAATGTCTCAATAAAAGCTGATACTGATCAAGTTAAACTGTTTAGATTATTTGCATTCATGTAAATTTAATTATACAAAACTTTGTCATGAATCGTATCGTAATTTCTTGTGTAAGTTTATAGGTTCAATTAGCAATAGATGATTGAATGAGATTAAAACGAAACTGACAGTTTAACATCTATACTTATTATTGATCATTAGTGAGATGATTCTGTGGTATTGCACTGATGAATCCCTCTCCGTAGGTTCGAAATTACAGTACACATTGTTGCAACCAGCAAGGTAGGTTTCTGAATTTTGAAAAAAAGCACTACATTTGTCATTCCTTTCAGAAAAATTATTGTTAATTAATGTGAATAAATACGTTGTTTAAATTGAGAGCTTCCCTAATCAGATACTCTATATTATCTAGCGTAGAATAAATTAACCTTTCATTCAGGTACCAGCATATATCGTGGCAATAAACACATATATATATTAGAGATATTTGATGAATTGACATAAACTGATATGCAGTCCAATAATCTCCTTAAACTACACTACACTAATAATAATTATGTGATTACTGTTGACCGATTTCTAGTGATAATTCACAGAGTTCTATTGTGAAACCATGGCCAGAGTAGCTGAACCATGTCGGTTATGAAACAGTTATCTACAAGCGGCATCAACATATGCTTGTGAAACGAGATGCAGAGTTTTTGGGCTCTATCTTCAGTCTGGTGGGAAACTTGCACTGTTGAGCTTTCCTATCTAATGATGAAAGAACTATTCAAAGCTTCCTGATTACCAATGATTGTCTAACTAAGGTTAATTCTCCATGTAAATTATGGAGTTGATATAAGTTAAACAAGAAACTTGTTAAGGTATAATTTATATGTTTTAAATCAAATTCGTCATTTCAGATAGCGAACAGAATGTTCAGAGTTTAAGCTTAATCCCACCATGCTTTAATTAGAAACGTTAGGACAATATCAGTCAGTATATGTTTTGTGAATTTTGTTTGTTGATAAATCTTCTAATTGAACGCTAGATTCGGTTCATAAGTTCTTCTAGTAACCCTCGGGCTATATCTACGCAACAACTTGAACACGAGAGAATAAGCGCGAAATATGGAAGAACCACTTTACTCCAAAGGTTCGTTTATGTACAGAAAATCTAAGGTTTTTATAGTATTTTAAGTAACCTTGGGTTTCAGGAAAATTCTGGAACGCTACTAAACAGAGTAGCAGTATAGTTAATCATCTAATTAGAAACTCGACATGTGACTTTTCACTTTCAATATATTTCTGGCAAAACTTCTAGTGAATTTTGATTAGATAAGATGCTTCTCAGTGTTTTTAGAGCCTATGTTGGTCGTTATCGAAGAGTTTTCTGGATCTCCCCAACACTGTGTCAGCTACAATTTTTCATATATTCTACTAATATTACACAATTTGAAACTGTGCTATTAGTTCATTCAAGGAAAAAGTCTAGAATTCCAGTATGTTGTCTTTAGTTTTTCATGAATTCCCACTGAATATGACATATACAGTGAAATTAGAAAAGAAATCGCTGTACTAATAATTAATCATCCATAGGCATTCATTTTATTCATTATCATAAACTTAGACACAGGAAAGTATTTTTGACAAAAAAAAGATTATACAGTATTATAGCAAATTCCTTATTGTTATAACTTGTGTCCTTGTGCCATAATAATATATAACGTAATGATACCGCCAATTAGAGAACAGTGATTTATCGGTCGGACCATTGACACGTAAACCTGTACGAGTAGTCAAGAGTTATTGTCAGTCTTTTTCCTGCCTAGTCCTGCCTTCGCTATATGAATCATGTATTTGAAACATACTGAGTTTATATACAAATCAAACAGACCACATCACACCACAAAATAAGAAATAACATTCTTACAATATTTAGCCAAAAGTAGCTGTGAATGTGGGAGACACTAATTAATAGACTAGGTATAACTCAAGAACAGTAAATCGTATAATAATAGTCTCTGGGTCAAGATAAAGCTTATAATAAGAGGAACATGAATATGCATAGTGTAGTTACTTAATAATTATACAACAAAAATATATGTATTGTATTGCTCAATAAATAGTTCTCAAAAGTTACCATTCATAATTCTCGTCGGGATATAACACTTATCATACATTCATGTAACTT